CTTTTGACACCTTAAACGTTGAAATTGGTCCACAAATAAGGGAGGAGTTGCGTTAAAAAAAAAACGGCTTCACGTATTATATATATAGATTTTAACCAAGTCAGTCAATCTTGGTAGCAAACTGTTAAATTAGCAAACTTATTGACTGTTTACAATTGACATGTTCTTCTCCTCACTTTTAGTTTCTTACAACAGCTGGAGTTTCATAACACAATGTTAATCTTATGGAGAAATATGAAACTTAAAAGGGCCCCAGGGCCTCACTCCCTAATTATTTCCCTAAAAAGAACGTTCTTTCCAATGACACCAAAAACATATCAATCGGGAGCAGTTTCGGAGGAGTAATTGCCACAAGAAACCTGCTTGCGTATTAAATAAGTACTAGTTGCTGTAGCCATGCTTCGCAACGGGGAAAAAATCAGTTCCATAATCATTGAAATAGATTTAGAATAAATAATCTATCATAAAGTTTAAGATAAAATAAACCTACCACATAGCTGTGTAAAATATTTTATTCTATTTTTTGGATCAGCTGTCTGAAGTTGTGAAATAGGCATTTGACAGTTCTGGTTGTTTAGATTTAAATGTCAAAGCAAAGGTAAACATTGTGCATTTTCTCATGCTTCCATGGAGACCATTTATTGTTATTTTCTGACAACAGCTGGAGTTTCATAACAATGTTTGTTTCCCATGTTAAGTATTAAAGTATTTCCCATGTTTCCCATGCCTCACTCTCAAATTATTTCCCTAAAAAGAAAGTTTCCTGCACAACTTCACGCACGTTACGCTCTTTCCAATGAGACCAAAAACATGTCAATCGGTTCGGTAGTTTCGGAGGAGTAATTGTCACAAAAAACCTGCTTGCCTATTATATAAGTACTAGTGGTCGTCCAGTGTTCGAAAACTCGACCAAAAATATGTAATGTACACACATTGACCATTGGATACTGAAGTAGACAACCCTTCTATTTGGACCAGCTGTCGTAATTTTTTTTATTATAAAACATTGTAATTGTGTGAGCCATACAGAATGCGTGCACTTTGCTACTGCACACAAGAGAAATGTTTACGCACAAGCCGTAGGCAAGTGTGGAAAGTTTTTTGAGTGCAGCAAAGGCAATTTGCACCCGTGTTCCACATTATATTTTTCCCACAGTTATTATAAAGCATAGAAATAATTAGTCTTTCAAACACTAAACAACACGTTTTAGATTAGGCCAAGCGTTGAAAAAAATGGGAAACACTGCAACAGCTGAACGTTGTCGTAGTATCTTTAAGTGTTGCCAACCTATTTCCAAGCTTACACGGGTTATTCGCATAATAAAAGCACGTTGTTTGGTTGGAATACTGGTGCGCAACAAAGTATAAAGTATGTGGCAAAGTAAGTAAATGCAGCAATTAGCAGCTTCCTGTACTATAATCAGTGCAAGGAAGCCCACTTTGACAGGTGACTGTAGGAAAAAAATATGCCTATTTAAAATCCATTTTCATAAACTGTTTCATCTAATGTTTACTGACTGTGAAATTCAACTAATCAGCTGTTATATTACACACAGCCCACTTTTAGACCATTATAAAGAAAGTTGGTCAGCATCACTGCTTTGAAAGTAAACTCTTTTAAATAAATGAAACTCAAGGGGACGAAGCCCCCTATAATAACAAATGTTATTATTTGTTAGGAATAACAAATTACCTCTTCCTTCCTATCAGCCCCTGCGCTAGATTAAAATCTTTGAAATTACTCATCAACCACAGCAATTTGTTAAGTAGGAAGGGTGTAGACCCTAAAAGGTATGTTACAGAAAAAATTCTTATTTTATTGAATAACTAGCTGTTTGCCCGTTCTACGTACGGGAATCTTGTAGTAAGTTAAAACCTTATTTTCAGAACAGGAGTTGGTTTGCATATTTAGTGTGCATTTTTCCAGATATGATGGCAAAACTATTACTGTATATGAATGCATATAAACCTTCGCAAATACAATATCTGACAGTTTCAAAGCCAAAACGGATGCCTCGCAATTAAATGTCACCCGATCGTGTTAGTCCATATTTTATATCTAATGATAAAAGGAATTGCTTTATAGATCTATGAGGTAAATCCCTAAGGTAGGCCTGTAATTGAAAGTTACTTTTCACACTGGTTAAAAGTAGTTAAACACTACCTCAACCTTACTACTGCACACTTTATTCGAGTTGAAATTTTTATTACCAATGGTGCTCTTGTCTTTTCCACGAAAAATAAGGACATTAATGCGTTACCAATAGACATACACACACAAATACAGAATTGAGTCCACACAACATTTTGGAGTCTAGACAGAAAACGCTAAAAATGATACAGTAAGACATTAATTAAATTTAATAAGCAATAAGGTTCAGTGTTTATAAATAAATATTGAAAATAGTGATGAGTTTGTATGTAAAAATGATTCCTACTGCTACCACCGGTTCTAAGGAAAAGTAGTAGTTCCGTACCAAAAACCGACGTTTTGAGAAAAGCACTGTAGTACTTACGACTAATTCAAACTGTCCTTCTATTCAAACTGCAAATATATATATATACCAGGTGTCCCAAGAAGGGGTTTAAACGTTTGATTTTTTATTACGTACCCATTCATGCACCGAACTTTTTTAAACTTTACACAGTTTACAAAGTAGGTTCTAAAAATATTCTGGAAAAATTTCAACTCCCTTACCTTAGTAGAAACAAAATCGTGGCATATTGACAAATTTACCAATGTGCTTTTTATAAAAACTACTTTCATGATTTATTATTAGTTATTTATTTATTATTATTATTTATTAGTTATTTGATTTATTTTTAGTTTTCCATTAGGCTATGTTTTATTTTTTTAGCCTATTTGAAAATCATATTGCCCTGGAAAGTAACAATAAAAATATTTTATAAAACCAAAAATACCTTTTTTAATGTTTTTAAAGTAACGTTTTTCAATATGCCGCCATTTTGTTTTTACTAAGGTTAGGGAATTGAAGTTTTTTCAGAATATTTGTAGAACCTACTTTGTAAACTGTGTAAAGTTTCAAAAAGTTTGGTGCATGAATGTGCGCGTAATATAAAGTCAATCGTTTAAACCCCTTCGTGGGACACCCTAAATAAATACACAGGCCACAAAACATGTAACATGTAACGTTAACAACGTAAAGCTTTGAAAACTCACTATGGTTTGCTAAAAAAAACTTTCACTTGATGTGATGCAGTACCGAAGTATCTCTTTTGGTTTTAAATCTCCTTTGGTTTTAATTTTTATTTTTATTTTTGAAAATCAAAGTTATTCCCATTAATAGCATTATTTGTAAGCAGCTTTTAATGTTAACTTATTATGACAGTTTGAAGAAACCAACTTTATCCAAACAAAGGTTTCTTATTTGAAAGATTACGCATCTCTAAACGATAATCGGTACATATATTTAGCAAACATTCGGAGGAAATGTGACAAAAAACGCACAAATCTGGGGTTTTGTACTTTTGTAGTTTTTTTCCTAAGTAGGAAAAGTACCGATATCGTTGTCGAAATTTAAGTAAGTAGAAACCAATTAGTTCATTGGATAAACAGTGAGTTTAGCTACATCTGTTAAGTTAAACCTCTGTTACGGTATGATCACAGCGAAATCAGAAAGATCTTCCAAGATAGCAGCAACATCCACGATCACCCACTGCAGTTGAAATTTTTTACTTTGCACTTAACACAACTGTCCTTGAAGTGCCGTCAATGAGTGGAAACCTTTGTAAGCTACGGTATTGGTGACGATGATTAAAAAAATGTAAGTTTCCTTGCACTAATACAACACTGATTCACGGTATTTTCCCCGGACTCAAGAAACTCAAGAACAATCGTTGCACTTGCGATTAATTTAACCGGTTAAGTAAGGCACAACGTTTTTAATCTCACTTGGTTTGGATGTGCTGACAAAACTTGATCGGAAATGGTTTCAGTATTTGTAAACAACTTTGAATGTAAACATATCAGTAACAGCTAGAAGTGAGAACTAATCCAAACAGCTGATCGTTATTTCATAAAATGTAATAGTAAATATTGGGAGAAAATTTGACAAAAATCGAACAAAATTGGGTTTTTGGTGGTTCGTTATTTTATTTTCAAAGAAGCGAGGCCATGTTTTTATAGCGAAAAGACACTCTCGCCAATCCAGTATATACAGAAAAATGATTAGAACATTGATCGGTACTCTAGTTTTCTAGGAGTAGCCCGCGTAAAATGACATTTTGGCGTTACAGACAGAGTCACAGAATGGACAGACAGACATACAGACAGAAATTGAGATAAGACTCGTTTCGGATTTCTTAGGCTATGAAACGTAAAAATAACCAAAAACTGCATGATTCTAAGCAATGTACAGACAAAACTGTAATTTTATTTATATAGATTTGCAAAACCCATCCAAGTTGTCAAAATAAAGTTAAAGGTGTTAGTTCTATTTATGCTCAAAATTCTTCAAATATTTAACCTCCATTAACCCAAAACCAAGTAACCAACCATGCAGATACTGTAGTTTTCTTGCATGCCAACCTGTGAGTCAGCTCAGCAATTTTGTGGGTAATTCCGTTAAAAACACATAGTTAAAGGTTTTGTAGCACAGACCACACGACAAAAGAACAATACATCTTTGACTCCTCAGCTGGTTTACTTGGTTACTTGATTACTTGGTTTTGAGTTTCAGTTTAGAAGGTTTAAGTAGTACAATCATGAAAAGTTTTACTGCTTTGTACAAAATGTATTTAAAAATATGTTTATATGGTATTACTATTACTTAAGTATTGAGTTCACACTTGAGCGAACAAACTTTATGTAGAAATTAAAAACAATTTTTAGCCAAAATTAAAAATATTAATACTTTCATTCAAATTTTGTCAAACAAAATTTGGATAAGACTTGCATCATAATGACTGATACAAAAAGAAAATTCAAACTCTCTCTATCGTAGGGTTACGATGATAGCATGATAAGGGCAAATATAAAAGCTATCCGTCAGACCCAGCAGTCACTGTTCACCATGAAGGCAACAGCACTGCTTCTGTGTGGTCTGGCACTGGCCTGCGCTACCCAGCAAGGTACGCGACATGTAACTTTAAGATTTAAGAGTATAATAGACCATTAATTTATTTCAGACTAATATTATATTTATTTTAATGTTTTGAGGTCCCTCCAATTTTTTGTATAAAATTTAATTAGAAAAATTAAACATCTAATCAAATTTTGTACCTAAGTAGTGTCTTACATTGGTTTTAATAAACAACTAGGCTTTGAGAACGCTTAGAAGAATTTAATACTTATACTTGAGTATTATCTTACATCTCTTACTGTAGTAAAAAAAATGCTAAAAGCCATAAAAATTATAAAATACCCTGCCACAGCAAACCTGAAGACTAAGCGAATTGCCTGATTAAATTTACACTAACATGTCTCCTTAAAAATATCACATTTATTCCCTATTTAAATAGAAATTATTTTAACGAGTTCTTAAGTTTGCTGCAACAGGGAGGGTAAAGAAGTGTTTATTTTAATATGTTAATAGGCTAGTTTAGTAAGAAATAAATGCATCTTCAAAATTTGATTAAAATATGTTGACAAACAAGCAAACTACCACAGTTTACTTATTCTCCATAAGAATAGCATGGGAATTTTAAATTAAAAATTGCTGTAATTTTCTCCATAACCATTAGGCGCATAGTAACACTTCAATATACTAATTATTTATTTTTTAAGCTCTACAATATGGTTTGGAAAGAAATTGCAAAATTTTATATTTTTAGGTCAAAAATAGGAAAAACCAATTTTTACCCCATAAAACCCTCCATAAACCCCCATTCCCATAGTCTGATCATGCTGGTTCGCGAGCTTGTTTGAATAAATGTAGGTTTATACCAAATTTCATCAGAATCGGATAATTTTTGCTCGAGTTATCATGCTAACAGACACACACATATAATTACACTGCCACTAAACAAAACAAATTTTGATCAAGAAAAGAAGATAATAAAATATATTGCAGCCAAAAATGGATATCAAGACAATATTATTGATAATATGTAAAAGAAAAAAATTGAGAAACAAAAGAAAAAGGAAGAGAGTTTGAAAAAAAGAGTTCATATGTCTTCCTCATAACTCTAAATTAAATAAAGCAATACGGAAATCCTTATCAAAAACAAATTACAAAGCAACATGCATATAGATCAAAAAACAATATCTTTAAAATTATAAATTCAAAAGTTCCAAAAATCAACAAATAAATGAAGAATCATCAAAACTTAACAAGAGCGGCATTTACAAAATTTACTGTACAGACTGTGAAGTAATATTGGTCAAACTAGTAGAAACTTCAAATGTAGATTCCAAGAACATAAAAAAATTCCACAAGTATGAAATCAAACTATGCAGAACACTTACTTAAGACTATAAACATAATAACAAAATTTATCAGTAATTGAATTCGAACCAAACAAAGACAAATCTATTATGTTATTAAAGTGATACAATAAAATTTTATGTAAACGGTTAAGGCCATTTACCAAATAAAAATATAGGCATATGGCACATCAAAATGAAGCTTAGAGTATGTAGATTTGCCGAAAAGTATTGATATGGATGAGTTTCCTAAGGGCTCTGCCCCACAGGCTGATTTCCGAAGGGCTACGCCTCGCTTGCTTCTAAAGTTTAGATGATTTAATTTAATTTAGTTGATGAAACAGCTGGTCCGTACAATGAACTGGTGTTTGTTTATTTAATATAAAAAGATGTTTGTGGCGCTTTATGTAGATTGAGGAGGGTTATGTTTGGTTTTAAAGAAAGGTTGTACTGTATACTATTTGTTAAGTATTGCTCAAAGTTTCATTTTGTAATTTATATAGTAAGCTAAGTATAAAGAGGCTTGACTAAAATTGAAGAATTATGGTAAAATGTCATTCATGAAGCTTTAATATGAAGCAATTGATGCTATTGCTACAATAAGGTATGAAGCTTTAATATGAAGCAATTGATGCTATTGCTACAATAAGGTATGAAGCTTTAATATGAAGCAATTGATGCTATTGCTACACTAAGGTATGTTGTCATGTTCTTTTGGTTCCATTAACATTAAAAGTAGGGGTTTGAAAGTAAGTAGGTTTACACTTTTAAATCAGTTTATATTTTCATACAAAATCATAAAGTTGTATTTTAAAACACACATGAGCACCACTTTAATAGCTCTCTGGATCACATTTTCTTCCCGTTGCAAAGCACGGGTATAGCAGCTTGTTATTTATTAAAGAAGATTCTACATAATAAAGCCACCATAAAAAATATCTAGAAAATATACTCAATACAATGCAAATCCAAAAAGAAAATATATGAAACAAATGTTGTACAATACCTAAATCAAAAGAAAACAACAACGCCTGAGCCAAACTGGTACAAGACAAAATCATGATAATTTACTTATTTATTATTTACATTTCTGTTTATTTACTATTTGTTCATAACTGTGATCATGGCCTAAGAGCCGAAACATGTTAGTTATTCAATAAGTTAATAACTTAAGAGTACTAAATGTGTAATTATTTTACCCAACCCGCCATGTTAAACTCTTCCCTATCCCAAGCGTGATGTATACAACTTCTTTACTTCACGAGTGATGTAAAGTTAAAAAAACTAACTCGGTGAGGTAATGAAACCCATTTAAATAACATTGAGTGCTTAACTTAAAAAATATACCTCTATGGAGCCGACGTTCAATGCTAGAAATCAGGTGTGCGCTTGAATTTTATTGTTATGCTTAGAAGAATTTTCCTAACCTAGCTTTTGTTTGTAAATAATAATGATGGACGTTATTGTTAGAAGATGAGTGAAATGGATAATGAAAAGTATTGTTCGTAACCTTCTGTATATTGTCGGGTCAGGTAAAATCTTGTACGTTACACGCTATGCAAGAGCTTGTTTACATCACTTAGGAGAATTATGCAACTCGCTTCTGCTCGTTGCACAACATTCACCTGCATGATGTAAAAACGCTCTTACTACACTTGTAACTTAAATAGCTATAATTCATTTATTGATAAATAAATAAATAGATACATATATACATGAATTTGAAAGGATGGTATTTTTGGACTTTGGCCTTTAGGGACCTCACAAAGAAAGATTAAATCGGTCTCGGGTCCAGGTCTTACCATGAGTACTATGGTAAAAGCTTATTCCCTATATGGGAAATTAGCTAAAAGTTATTGTTTTAAATGTATGTTACTCATGTTCTATAAATTAAGGTTCAAGCATTAGTAGATGTGTAACTATTTCATACAACAGATGTAAATTTCAAAATGTCTCTATTTTGTGTCTTCTTCCTGTTGCAAAGAACGGGTACAACAGCTAGTGTTCTATAAATTAACATTCATATAAATATTTGATTGTAAGTAGCAAAATTTTATAACCAAGTGAATAAATAGGAATCCAAAAGTAACTCTTATTGTGAGTAATAATATTAATGTTACCGTACAGTATATCAATATTAGGTATGCATTTTCAAAGTATTTCAAAGTTTTTTTATCAATTAAAATATTAAAAGGAACAAATATAACTCATCATATAAATCATTGAGCAATTCTACTTTTTACAGGCAACCAGAACCTCAATGACAAGCAACAGAACTTACTGAAGCTTTTCGTGAATGTTCAGCAGCCCAACTACAACCAGGAGCAACAGCAGATCGGTAACAACTTCAACTTCAACCCCAAAAAATTCAACGTTAGTACAGTATCTGATGTACTTTTTAGTTCAAGTTATTCATTGATAAACTAAAAATTAAAAATATTGCAGCCCTATATTACTACTATAGTTAAATATTGTTATTGTAAATAAAACTGACTAAAATGTTTTACAAGAGCTATAGAATCTTATGAAGACCATTTTCAAATAATTTTTTTAACATAAGTGGACTCATGATACGCATAATATTCATCACACAATGCAAAAACTTAAGATTCTCATCATGCTACAAAGCATGTTTCTTGATTATTGAATATTGATACATTTGATTTTCCAAATACAATCCTGAAAAGTGTTAGATTCATAAGTTCCCACTATTTAAATATGACAAAATTAATGTTTCTTCATTCAAAATCTTGGAATGTGTTGTTGCAGAACAACTATGCCGTGAAGCAATTCCAGAGCGCATACCAGCAAGGTCTGCTGCCTCGTGGACAAGTGTTCAACTACAACAACCCCAACCAGCTCCAACAGGCCATCCAGCTGTTTGATGTGTTCTACTTTGCCAAGGACTTTGACACCTTCTATCAGGCCGCTTGCTGGGCCCGCGACCGCGTCAACGAGGGGCAGTTTGTGTACGCTCTGAGCGTCGCCATCGTCAAGCGTCAAGACACCCAGAACATTCCTCTGCCTCCCCAGTCCGAGGTCTACCCCAACCTGTACGTCAACGCTCAGGCCATCCAACAGGCCCAGAACAACAAGCAGCAAGGCCAGAAGCAAGCTGTCGTCCAGTCCAACAACACCAACAACTACGTCCAGAACCAGCAGCAGAAGCAAAAACAGCAGCAGCAGCAGCAACAACAACAGCAGCAAGGAAACCAGAACCAGTACCAGCAGCTGTTCAACAACCAGTACCAGAACAACCAGAACTATGACAACGAGAACCAGGCCAACCAGTACCAGAACCAACAGCAGAACAACCAGGAAGGTCGTGTCGCTTACTTCAGCGAGGACATCAACCTGAACCAGCAGTTTGCCAACCAGCAGATCTACAACCCCAACTGGTTCAACCAGCAGAAGTACAACCAGAAGAACCAGAACGTCAATCAAGGCGAGAACTTTTACTACTACCTGCAGCAGGTTCTGGCTCGTTACAACCTGGAGAGGTACGCCAACAACTTGCCCAACGTGCAGCCCTTCCAGTTCAACAAGAATGTTCAGCCCGGATACAACCCCCAGCTACAGTACCACAACGGTCAGGCCGTGCCCGCCCGTCCCAATTACGTCAACATCAACAACGCCAACAACAACTACCTGCAGCAACTGCAGAACATTGACAGACGCATTGCTGACGCTGTCGACAGCCAACAAGTCAAGAACGTGAGTATCTGACAAAGTCAATTTGTTTTGAAACATCTCAATATGTGCATATTTAATTACTTTAATAGTTTTTTGTTCAAAGAATTTACTGTTCAGTAAGTGAAACATGAGTGAATTCTCAAAGCCAATAACATATTTTATCTTTGTGTACCTATAACCTAACCATTACTTACAATGTTTTTCTTAATATTTATTAGTTATATTATACATGAGGAAATATTATTTTAAAAATCAAAAGATTAACCTATTTTCCATTTAATTATAATTTAGAAAAAAACTAATCTAAATAAAGTCCGCTACAGACTTAAAGTGCAACACATTAAGTTTTAAGGTAAAACTTGAGGTTTTAACCATTTTGTGATGATTTTATTTAATGTAAATATGTTTGCTATGGCAGAACCAGGGAGGCAAGCAGGCTCTGAATGCTGAGAATGGAGTTGCTGTTCTGGGTAACATTGTGCAAGCCAACGAGAACTCAGTCAACAACCAGTACTACGCTGCCAACAATGGCCTTTACGGTTACTTCAACGTCTTTAGGAAGGTGGTTGGAAGCATTGTTGACCCCAACAACAAATACCAGGTAACTAACTCTAAATTCTAAATAGTTTAGCCTTTTAACTTGTATTATTGATTTTAAGGAATTCAGTCGTTATTTTTTATTGTTTGGTAGCAACATTAATTAATTACCCAACATTATTTTTGGCTAAATGTGGTTCAACCATTGACTTTGAATAGTAGAAGTAGACTTCTCATCCGACTGTATATAAACTGTAGTTTTTTTATGCGGGTTTCATGTTGTGACATTTTGATGCTGATATCCTAACGTCCTTTTTTTTAAAAAAGTTAATTTTATGAATCGTGCTTTACTTTTTGATTGTTATAATACTATTGGATGAGCACTAATTAGTAAATAGATAGGGTAGTTTTATTTGTTTAAATAGTTTAAAAATAGATTTTGTAACAAGAAACAAATGGTAAACAACAAAATTTGATGGAACTAACAAATTTCCTTCACCTGATCCATATTCAATGGTCTAACCCAATAGAGGAGTGTACAAACTTTAATTACAAACAACTACAATGTTCAGGCTGCTCCCGGAGCTATCGAGACCAACTCCGCTGCCCTGAGGGACCCCGTCTTCTACCAGATCATTGCCCGCGTTGTCAACTACTTCCAGAACTTCAAGAACCAACTGCAGTCCTACAAGCAGGAGCAACTGAACTTCCAGGGAGTCGAGGTTCAGGCTGTGAACGTGGACAAGCTGGTCACTTACTTTGACAACAACGAGGTGGACTTGTACAACGCCATCAACTACCAGCAGGGAGAGCAGGCCGAGAACTACCAGTACAAGGCCCAGCAACAGCAGCTCAACAACAAGCCCTTCAACTACCAGATCCAGGTCAACAGCCAGCAGGACACAGACGCTGTCGTGCGAGTCTTCATCGGACCCCAATACGACGCTCAGGGCAACCAGTACACTCTGGAGCAGGCCAGGCAGAACTTTGTTGAGATTGACCGCTTTGTCACTAACTGTAAGTATAAGCCTATCATCTGTAAAAATAACTAATCCTTATCTCAAGTGGTATGGTATACACACAGTAAAACAAGAGATATAATAGTGTTGTCAGGGTTAAAAGTGGGTACATAGTTTGGAGAAGGTTGAGCAACATAAGATTGTTCCTCAATGTTGCCGTCCACATACACTTGGGATGATTGAATTTATTTGACCATTCTAAGGACAATTGACCTATTATCTCAAATTTTCTACACAAATTTCATGTAATTTATTCCAAATATTTATGAACCATTGACCTCTTTAAATAACCAGCCTTAACAATTGACCTAAAGAAGTACCGGTAGTTTAAACTTAGAGATTATTTCCAAATCAACTGAGTGTCTAACGTTTGTCTTTTTACAGTGAAGAGTGGTCAGAACAAGATCCAGCGCAACTCCCAGCAGTCCACCAGGTTCGTACAGCAGCAGCCCAACTCTCGCGCCATCTTCCAGGGACAAGTCAACTACAACCAGACCCAACAACAGCAGCAGCAGTACACTCTGCCTCAGAACCTGATCCTGCCCAAGGGCTCCCAGAACGGCCAGCAGTACGTGTTTGTGGTGGCTGTCAACCAGTACCAACCTAACAACAACCAGAACAGCCAGTACAACAACCAGCCCAATGACAACCGTCCCCAGGGCTTCCCCTTCGATCGTCAGGTCCAGCCTCAGAACTTCCAGCAGGCGAAGAACATCTTCTTCCAGACTGTAACTGTCTACAACAAGAACAACAACAACCAATACTGAACACTTGGAACAGTAACAATGTAAAATATCTGTGATCTTTTAATTTTTATGTAAATTTGAATTAAGTTATTAAATTTAAGCTAGCAGTATGACTTGACTTTGGAAAATAATTAAACACTTTTCAATAATTTCACAACTGTTAATATATAAAGGGTGTCCCAACAAGAACGCCGGATTTAAAATTTTAATAAACCATATTTTTTCACGCTAAATTTACAATATGAAACATGAATCTTAAAGCATAGTATCTCCGATTAGTAATGGAATATTATGTCTCGTAAGTGCCCACTTGCTGCCTGCTGACAAGCCAGACATCTATTGACGAAGTTTTCTATAACTTTTTCACCCAGTTCATGTTGAATTCCTCTAATGGCACGAATAATTTCCACCTTCAGGTCTTGGATTGTGTGACGATTATTGGCAAAAACAAGCGACTTTAAACATCCACAAAGAAAGTAGTCACACGGTGTTAAATCGCACGATCTTGCTTAGATGAATGTGTCCGTCATCACTGAACAGCAATGTTTTTTAAAACAAGTCATTTTCATCTCGATTTCCAACCACCTAGTTTACAAATTCAGGCCATTTTACAGGATCTCTTGGCTTGATCTCTTGTTTCAGTTGGATTTTTTAGGGAACATGTGAAGGTCTTTTATCAAAATTCTTTGTGCTGTGCTCCGAGCTAGGCCTAACTGCTGACTACGCCGACGAATCGATGTTTTTGCGTTGTCCTCTACACTATCATGTACAGCATCAATATTTTCAAGGGAACGACCTGCCCGACTACGCACTGGTCTTTTAATGTCCAAAACTGAGCCAGTTCCTTCGAACTTAGAAATTAATTTTCAGACAGATGACTCATTTTGTGCATTATCCCGGGCGAAAATAGCGCGCAGCTTCCGCACCGTTCCAGCGAAACATTCACCGTACTTGTAGTGCACTTTAACTATGACCACGCGTTGATCCGTCGTGTAGCGATTCATGACTACAAATGGGACATAATACTGATAACATCGCTGATAATTTGGGAATTCCTATTGAAATACAAATAAGGATATGACGCTCCTGAAATCCGGCGTTCTTACTGGGACACCCTTTATTTTAAGAAAATGTTTTTAAGTGTTTAACGTTAAACATTTCTTACTGCTGGTTTTTGCTCAAGCAAGAGTACAAAGGATAAAATTTGTAAATTTCTTAATCTTACAGAAAATAAATTTTCTACACACTTCAATCTGGTATATTAATTGCTCTTACCTTGGTTTTAATTCTAGTGGTTGTACAAAGGCTCCTTATGGATGGATCTCTGTCTGTCATAAAACAAATTGATTTATTACATTACCAATTAATACAGGGACACACCTATGTGCGTATTTTAACCAAATTAGGAGTGAAGGATGAGTGTAGAATGAAGTTTATAATTATCTTGTAAAATAGATAATTTTCAACTCAGAGCAATTGTAAGTAAATTGTAAATTATTTCAAATATATATCACAGATCTTGAAGTCACAAAGTGACGCTGGCTGCCTGTAGACAATTATTGGAGTTTACATAGGACTACAAAATGTGGCAACCAATTTTGAAAATAAAGGCAAGTACCTACAGGTTTTTACATTCTCATACAAAATAGCTTGAACAATGTAAAGGCATCGGCTAACAAATTGACACCTTATCCTTCATTGGGGAAGTTTTTAAAAATCAAAATTAACAGCAATTTATTTACAAATAACTACACACACACTAAAACACCTTTTATCAAACTACCCTACGTCCAACACACCTGAAGAGACTCAAGGAAACACTCCCTCAACTGATAACAGATAAGTTCCAGACTAGCCATTAGTTTTTAGACTAGAGTTTTTTTTTTAACTGATTAATCCCTCCTAGGTTTGTTACCTCATAAACCCATGCTAAAAAAACTCTATTATGTAAAGAAAAAATAGAAAATATAGCTTTCACTAGCTTTTTGTAAAGAAAAAAAAAATTAAAATGTTCTTTACTTAATTACTTGATTTATTCTTCAAATGAAAATCTAATTCACACCTCTATGTAATATACCGGTAATTTGATATTCCATAAAGGTGTGAAAATAACAAAAAGTTACCCCCTGGTGGGGTTTTAATGAATTTAATTTACTTTAATTGAACTAATGAGGACATATAATCACAGAGCAGTGCGCTAAAAGATGTTAAGTGTGGGCCCTTGTAATTAAATACCTCAAGAGTCCTTGGGGGATCGGAGAGATCTGGCAGCTGTCCTCCTTCACACCTTCCTCAGCTTAATTCTAACACTTCTTAATATCTAATAGATGTGTTTATTTGAACACTCTATGGATGAAATGTTTGCTCTGATGAAAGATTTGTGATATGAATTGATTACTCTGTAAAACTGGAGTATTGAAAATAATAAATATTGAGAAATTGATTGCAAATATATTTATGAAATCAGTTCATTCAAAAATATTTATCAAAAGTATGACCTCCAAGATGTTAATATACACTTGATTCGGTTAAGCCGATTACTCATAAATTTACCAACTTGATATTAAAGTTATGAGCTGAACTTGTAAAACTTGCTTTGTCAAAATATATTTATAAAATGTGATCATCAAGATTCTTTGTGTATACTTTGTTCGGTTAAGCCGATTACCTTTAAAATTCATCAATTTGATATTTGAAAATACTAGCTGAAACACAAGCAAATGAAAAGATGGAGATTTGTAAAAATACTGTATTAAATCAAAATTATGAGCTGTGATACAATTATAATGTCAATAATACAATTACCCTTTACACAATGAATAATATGGAGGGAGTGAGAGAGTTGATTGTAAGCTAAAAGTTCAATTTGGCGGTTTTCTCATTTTAAAATACTAAGCCTCGGGAAACCTAGCTTTAATGATTTTAAATATTTATTTTAGGTCACCAGACTCCCCAAAGATGTTCATGTGTTTACCAACCGGCCAGTTGACAATATAATACAACAGGGATTAGTATACAGGTTTGTTAACTACATCACTCCTTGTTGATCAGTGCAACGGGGCCAATCGACTTCTGAGCCGATTATTTGATATTTTATTTAATATTGATTCTTTATGAATTTATTGGGAGTCTATCCTCGTAACCCTTTACCAACCCTAGCCTTCGACCGAGTGCTTTGTTTCCCGGTTTCCCCCATTTACTTTACACAATCAAAAACTCTCACTATTTAAAAATGTGATACTCTGTTAAAAAATTATTACGATATATGAAATACAAAATGTTATAATTAATTATACTGATGATGGAGAAAACAAACCCTTACATGGAACATAAAAATAATACTATATCACAATCAATACTCTTAAAATTTATTGGCTATTTCAATTCAGTTTAATAAATAATTTTCATTTGACTAGAATTACTATTACAGCCTAAGCTCTTTGTGTAACATGACAAATTTAATAAAACACTTCATTCTGAATTTTTTGACCATGTGCTTTCAACATGCCAAATGAAAATGAAATATTCGACCAACTGTGACATGATTTTCTGACTCGTAAAATTGAATTGTACATGTGAAAAAATGGCAGATTTGCAGTACTAAACTATTTCTAAATAACAAATAACACAAAACATTTACTTACGTACACATGTCGACTCATACAACACTTATACAGACAGCGATTCACACACGGACGAAACATTTAAAAACTGACTCGTAGTACCAATTTTGTCTGACCGAGCAAAATTTCACGACAACAGTTTTTTCCGGTGTAGGTGTATCAATTCTTGTTTTTCGAGCTGGCGTTATTGATCCAATTGAAAATACCGTCACGACAATCTACGACTCGCTTAGAAACTGACATTTGCTATCGATTTGATGCATGTACGAATTTTCATCACGAACGCAAACAATCAATCCGGCATCTCAACTGTCTCGACTTAATACTAATAAAAACACACCCCCAATTGCAGTTCGGCGAAATTTTGACAATTGCGATCATTTGATGCACGTACAATTTTCACCCAAACGCGAATTTCCTAGCTACGATTAAGATATTAATAAAATTGCCCTGCACCGGTGACATGCGACCTTTGCTGTTGACGGCGCAACTACGAGTGGCGAGTGCACACGGCTCAGTTTGAGTCCTTTGCTCTCATATCCCTCCGCGTTACGTCATGGTTGGACTGACTTGTCCGTTGCCTAGAGCGGATTTTAAAACTTTGCATTTAAAATCGGCACAATTATCATGTTGATGAGAAACCTAAGCATGGTGCAAGATTGGTTGTTGCTTACATGGGTTCCTACACTACCAAAGCGAAGAGTTGGCTATCCCTAGTCAAACTGTCATACTACGCAATAGTCCGTAATCCTTTCAAACTGTCTAAGAGGGAATTTTCCTTTAACGTTACCTTTGTCATGACTTTAAATGAGGCATATGGACAGATGCTAACGAAGGAAGGATTGCATGTGCCAGACCCTGTTTTTTACACATTCAGTATTTGTGGCTTTGTCAAGGGTGCGCTTTTTTGGTAAAATCTATGTCTGTGTAAAAACAAAGCCATCAAAACAAAAATCGTATATGGCCATATTATTACTTCAAAAATAGTGTTCAAATAGGTCCTGTAAACATCTTAAATAATTTTACCTACAACAGTTTTTTAAAGTAGCCGTTTCAGTTCAGTTCTTAGAATTGAAAAGTTTCACATAACAGCATTGTTTACTTACATAACAGCGTAGTTTTACTTAACAACACAAGTAACGGACCAATGAGGTTCAAGGATTGAGTGAGAAGAAGTAACATTGTAATGCTATGAATTTCCGCTAATCAGCTATTTACCAATATAATTGTTGACGATTGGTGCAATTAGTGAATGGTACAAGGGACAATGAGTCGTTGAATCAAAGTCAGTGGCAGTGATGGAGTTTAAACAAAAAATAACCTCTCTTAGAAGTTTTGAGTTGTGATTATTAGTAACTAAAAACCGGTCGTAGGTAAAGAAGTGTACGCAACTCGCGTAAATAGTGTTAACAACACTCGTAGAAGCTTTTAAGACTCGCTTGTACCTTAAATTTTGTACTTGTGTCATTAACACTATCTTTACGCGATCGTTGCGTAAACTAGTATAACAATGTCATTATATTTTGAAAAAGTTAATTATCTAAAAATAAAATGTAAACCCACATCACACCTTATTCCTGTAATCAATCATGCACTTACTACGCGGAATTAACTTTATACCTCAATAAGTGAGATTTGAGATGAATCTAGTGTGAATGCTTCGCACGGGTCGGCTAGTTTTGTAAATAAAACAATTTCCCCTTATTCCTTCACTACTTACCATAAATTTTACAACTATAAAATGATGAAAGCTAAGCATAATTGTGACTGTTTCAGGTAATTTTGGAGCTTTCAAAAAAATTTCCAAATTCATACTCATATTATTTTTTATCTTAATAAATTATTTGCCTCCAAAACGAAATTCTAAACTTACTCTTTTGACAGGGTTTAATCATTACTACTAGAATAGTTCTTTTTATTATTTGATATGAGTGAATTGACGGAATTTTGTCTTTGGCTCGACCATCAATATATAGCACAATGGATCGCAAGCTGTGTGTGATGCTGTCCAGGCAGACATCCCCACAACAGTCCAGGGGCCCAGCCAGCACGGACACAGAGAAGCATGAACTGGACTAATCTAGATGGTTTAGTGCTATCTAGTTTCTATATTTCATAATGAATTAAGTATGTGCGTTGAGCAAGTATTATGTTTGTGTTCTGCATTTAATTGTACGGACAGTAGATGTAATTTGGCACATCGCAGGCTACACTGAAGGTCAAGTGTGTGGGCAACGTGTCGTACCAGAGCATGGCTTGCCGATATAAAAAAGCACGTTTAGTGTGTGGGCCGCTTAACTTGTTCGCTGAGGGTCACTCACCGGTGAGTGCTCTAGTTACTTTCTGCCACCCGTGACTGGTGACATCGCCTTCATTCCATTCAGTTTCTGCGCAGCAGCACACCGGGAAGAACTGGTATTTTTATGTCTGCGTTTAGCTAGGAATGGGTGCTTTATTGTGATGTAGGGTGGTAGTAAATTTCCCCGTAAATACTCCTTTTGGCAAGCTTAGAAATCAACTTGCTGTCCCGTCTTTCTCCCTCCAATTGGCAATACAATGGGAGCGGCTGGTTCCAGACATTGCTGCTATCTGTGAGTGTTTCAGCAAACTAGGTCCACTCTTGTCGTAACGCAGAACATCACCGCACATCATTTGCTATACGTCAGACCGAAATATGAAAGCCAAACGGGTTCGCTCGACGCTGCGCTGCACCAGGGCTACACCTGCCTTTGATGGGGCCGCAGTGAACGTGTTAAGATTAAGATTATAGGGCTACTCATGATAGGGAAAATATGGTAAGAAAACAATTGCATCTCCTCTAATAAGTTAGCAGGCAAAATAAAAATTTGATTCATAAGTGACTACTAGTAACCACCACTACATGATTAATGCAGAATTTTACCAAAAATTATTTGATACAACAACTAGACATTCCATCCCCATGTTAAAGTTATAGCCAGGTTTTTAATAAAATTTGTCTTAGTTGATGTGAGCCACCTACAGATTGCGCTGATCTAAATTACTGATTTCTGCCGATTGCATGATGGTTTTTACCAAGTCAGACTGATGGAATGACCTATTATGAGCTATAACAACTGTTGTGACCCAGCAACTATGTCAGTAACAAAAAATAAGGTACAAAATAGAGTTTTAGACACTAGCGCAATCTGTGACTGGAGTTATAGCCAGGTTTTTAATAAAATTTGTCTTAGTTGATGTGAGCCACCTACAGATTGGGCTGATCTAAATTACTGATTTCTGCCGATTGCATGATGGGTTTTACCAAGTCAGACTGATGGAATGACTTATTATGAGCTATAGCAACTGTTGTGACCCAGCAACTATGTCAGTAACGAAAAATAAGGTACAAAATAGAGTTTTAGACACTAGCGCAATCTGTGACTGGCTCACACAACTACATTCTTTTTTAGTAAAAAATTGGCTACAGCTGATCCATATAGATGGGATGAATAGTCAATGCTATTATATAAAAATCTAATGGTGTCTGTCTGTATGTGTGTTACTACTACATGCAAAAACAACTGAACCAACTGGGCTTAAATTTTACAAAAATATAGCTACCATACCAAGGACCATTATAGGATTATTCACATTTCGATAAGGTGAACATTTTAAAAGTAAATATTGATTGGTCTCCATTAGTACAGGCAAACTTATACTAAAAAACCAGTAGAAAACATAAAAATTAGTCCATTCATGAAACTTTCAGGAAACGTAGTAATTACCATTAGGTATTGGAGAGTTAAAACAAAACAAAACATTAACCAGTTTTTAATTATTTTAATTATTAACGGCCGCCATTTTAAAATGACCCAATCAAACTCGACCATTGACAAACTGGGATTAGATATCGTATTCAAGCACTTGTATGCCAAATTTAATTAACATCGGTTCAGGCATTTTGGTATAATAACCAATTTATAGCGACCCAGCATCCTCTTACGAGCGCCATATTGATGACATCATTACGGGCGACCAAGGTCCTTAAAAATTGGGGTCTGGGAGGTTTTACATCCTTGGTCTTATATATTATCACCACTCTAAGTTGCAGGATCACCGCCAGAACTGAAATATTTTTCTGCTACCCATCCCCACTACTAAGCTGTCAGTGTCAAGTCATAACGATGATGGTGAAGAACGAGTTAGAGACCCTGACGATTCCATGGAAGGTGATGATGCATCAGTAGCTGATAAACAATATGACACGTGGTGGTTAAAGAGGCGTAACTACCAGTTTCTCGGTTAATTTTCCTCACAACTTTAACATGTGACACAGACTCATGATCAATTTTGTAATAGGTGATTGATATTAATTAACTGGATTATTTTACCTTAATTAATTTGTCATATTTAGTTTTTCATTAATAAATTAGTCTTTTTCTGATAAACTGTCGGTTTTATTGCTTTTATTATGCTCTTTTTCGATTTTGCATCCTAAGAAACATAGAAAACGACACCCCACTTGCTTGGATCCCATAAATAAAAATTTTCTCAAAATCACTACCCCCATAAACTTAAAACCCCATAAAATGGTACTTCCACCCCCACAATCACTAGGGACTCTTCAGATTCCAATACCTAATGGTAATTACTACGTTTCCTGAAAGTTTCATGAATGGACTAATTTTTATGTTTTCTTAGGTGAGTTTTACCTGTACTACATGGCTGCGATGAGAACACTTACAATGTTTGTTTACATTTGCTTTGACATTTAAATGTAAACAAGAAGAACTGAGCTAAACCATAGACTAACCAACACAAGTAGACTTCTCATCCCATTGTAAATTTTGAAGCTCGATTTTCATGTCTAATTCATGTACGCTACACTGGGCGCTAGTGTCGACGAAATTTTGTTTCTATTATTTTAGGGTTAATTTCTTGATTTGAGCTTTACTGTTTGGTTAAATAACTAGGGGACAATTTATTGTTTATGATTAGATCGTATTATTTGGTTAAACGAGGTTTTAAATGACTGTATTAACGGGAAACAAATTGTAAACAAAACACGACCTCTAACATAAACCGTACAGAACTAACAATAAAATTGTCTTCAGCTGTTCCATTAGGATGAGAAATCTACTAAGGGAGTATGTTTTATCTATGGCTAAACTGCATATTTCACAATTTCAGACAGCTGATACAAAGAAATTAAATATAATATTTTCAATAACTATGAGGTAGGTTTATTTTAATCTAACCTTTATCATGGATTATTTATTCTAAAACTATGTCAATGATTATAGAAAAATACCCCCGCCGCAGCAAACCTGCAGACTAAGCGAATTTTCATTTGCTTGATTGGATTTACACAAAAATGTCTCCTTAAAAATATCACATTTATTCCCTATTTAAATAACATTAATTTAACGAGTACTTAGGTTTGCTGCAACAGGGAGGGTAAAAATGTGTTTTTTTCTGTAAAATGTTAATAGTTTAGAATGATATGAATGCATTTTTCAAATTTGATCAAAATATGTTTATAAACAAGCAAACTACAACAGTTTACTTATTCTCCATAAGAATAACATGGGAATTTTAAATTTACAGTTTTTTTGAATTTTCTCCGTAACCATTATAAACCAGTTTTGGAATAAAGGAAAACCAAAGTGTCCACCATACACACCGACTTTATTTCAAGACCTCAATATACAACCTCAATAAATCAATAAAAAAATGTAAAAGTTTTTTCAAAAATAAATTAAGTAAGTCTTAACAAAATTGAATGTAAAAGAATTCAAATTTATGCATTAGACAGCAATGATTGTGCAAATTGAGCACATTTACTTTGTCTTGACGGTTCTGGATCTCAGACTCTTCTTGGTGTTCTGGTCGACTTCGGTCATCTCGTTGAATGTGTCGTCAATGGCGGAGTTAGCCTTGGCCTTGGCTGTAATACATTAATAGTGGACATTAGCAATGTATATGGATAACATGATACAAACAATTGACAACAAAACTGTTGAACACATCCAAAATCAAATTACAGATACAGATTATCAAAAGATAACGGGTATTTGATAGTTGTTGAAGTGATGACAGGTATATATTGAGATCAATACCGGTTAATACAAAAACATGGGATACGCATGTTTCAATGTCAGTCAACATCAGATTTGTGCTGGACAAGTTTTAAACTAATGTGAAAAAACTTAAACAAAACTCAAACCACTTCTTTACGGGTTTTCAGTATTCTTGATTAAACTTACTTATCTGAACTCTTTTATCTGGCCATGGTAATGCCGGATAACACATAAAGTAATTACAATCATGTATTATGGAGGCCTAAACATTTTAAAAATCACTACATTTATAATGTGTTTCCATTGTAAAAACTATTTACAGTTTTAAGTTTATTTTTCAATGAAACCCAACCCTGTAATATCAGCTGGAATTCAGAATAAGCGGTGTTCTGTAATATTAGGTTATCACATTTGCTGATGATGTTCACGGTTTTGTCGCGATCACAGGAGACTTGAAGATTTTCAAGACTTCAACATGATTGCAAAAAGTTGTTATGGAATTGTTGTGACCGCATAAGATATTTACAATTAATATTGCTGTAACATAGAAAGATTTTTACAATTTCACTGTGGCCATTCCAATTTTTTTTTAAATTCTTGCAGAAAGTGTCTGTGAAGTTGCAAGATTGCATGTTTCGCCACGTTCGTGAAATATATTCGCAATTTCATCGTGACCACATCAAGCCATTGTTGATCATAGAACAAGATGATAATGTCCTTGAGACTGGAAAAATGTTTTTGATTTCACCAAGACTGGGGAAATATGCTCTTGTTTGCGCCTTGGCTTCGGAAAACACTCTATTTCATGTTAGCTTCGTACTAAGGTTTTACTAAAATAGGCAAGATTTTTGGAATAACAGACGCTACTGTATTATTTAATATTTGGCTGTGTCCATCTCCCAATTACCTCCCAGCCTTAATGCATGGACAGAGTTTACTCATTATCATTTCATATTTAAAAACCCAATTAGCTTTTTTGAAATAGCAACAGTTTTTAATGGCTCTGAACATCATCGAATATCGTTTTTAGTTCAATAAAAGGGTACTTTTTAAATGCTAAGCTAGATGTGTTTTTTAGACAAAAATAGGGGATATTTCAGTCCCTGGGGATTCTGGAAATGAGAGTTATGAGTGTGGACTCTCCTATTAGTTATTAACACTCTCGGTTTACACTTGACAAAGTAACTCAAAGGACAAAATATTGTGTGTTTTGTGGTTTTTTTTAGTCTTTAATGTGTACTATGGCCTATCTGTAAGCTATCAAGTAAGCTAGCTATTGTCCACCCTTTTTCTAAAAAATAAAATCCTCATATTAGTATTTTGTGAATCAATAATAAACTAATGAACCAATACCAGTAACTTTAAGATACTCAAATCCCCTTGTGCTCTTCAGTTTGGATAGTATGGATACAGGACTAATTTAAGTGATTCAAAGCTAAACTCTTCATCAATTGATCTGTTAAGTAAATAAAAAAGATTATATAGGGTGCGGCAAAAAAACCAATCTATTCTCTGCAGTGCACTGTTTAGTGTTCAGCGGCAGGTCGTCTGAGGGCGGTAGGGGTAGGCTCGTTGGAAAGCCTACACAATGCTATTGTGTGTTTGTCATCAAGTCGTTTTAAAAAAAAGAAATGATTCAGTCATTGCAACTCGGCAGCAGTTTATCTGTTTGGATAGTCAACAGATTTAAACAGATTAACTCAAATTTATCTGTAGCGATGACAATTATTAAGATCGCCTCAAAATTTGTGTATTCAATCGGTCAAACATTTTCAATGCAGCCACTTGTTTTTTGTAGGCCTACGAGTACTGTTTTCCACAGCAGCACGAACTCTAGCAAATATGCCTGGTGTCCGATTTGACTTTGTGAGGCCAGTTAGCTTCTTTTTCAACGCAGACGCCATTTCTCTAAAGTTAGTGGCCCATGGCATGATTGTGCTACGTGACAGAACCTCTCCATGTCGACCTAACAACTTGATGACAAACGCATGTTGCTCAGACAACCACTCTTCTGTGACTACAGATAATGGCATTGTGTATGCTTTCCAACAAGCCAACCACCACCACCCTCAGACGACCTGTTGCTGAACAGTGCACTGCAGAAAATAGATCTGTTTTTTTGCCACACCCTGTTCTTGTTGGGGTGCTTTTATCAATACCAAAGTCTTGCAGGATAGAGTATATTTTAGTCTATGTTATGACATTGACTCACAAGTAATTATAAGTTTGAAATAAAAGTGAAATAAGAATAAGAAATAAGTTATATAAAATAAATTAAAAAAAAAAAAAAAAAAAACATCCTCAATGATTATGGTAGAAATTCTGACAACATATAAATGATGATTCATGAAGCTTATACTAAACACTATTCACCTTTTACCATATTCTACCCTAATAGCCCAAATATGCTGAAGTGAAACACATCAAAGCAAGTGAGTGAAACGAGGCAATGGTCAAACTGTGCTCATCACATGGATGGTGTATGCCATAGAATTCATCAGATACTATTTACACATAGAGATGGACTGTGACCTTTAACATAGAGGGAAATGGCAAAAAAGGTCTTTCTACAGTTACTCAAGGATGAAGCCTTTTACACTAAGATGTGAATATGCAAACTCATGAAATGTTTCCCAAGAGAATAGTTCCCGTAAAAGAATCTGTTCAAACCTTTTTTGGGTTTGGTTCCAAATAGTTTTCCCAAGAGTGTGCCTACCAGACTGCTGGAAGCTAGATAATGTACATTGTATTAGAATTAGGTTATCATATCTGTAACAGTAAAGTTCATGTCACTTACAAAAAAAATAGTCATCAACAAAAATGGATCATTTCTCTTACTTCTGCTTTAAACACGTTCAGTTGTTCTGGAAGAAGGAATAAAAAATTAGTGTAGGGTAAAATAATTATTTAAAGGTATAAAAATGAGCATAGGGTTTTGAGATAATTGTAGTAAAAAAGTCTAAGTAAGGCTATAAATATTTCAATAGATGAAAGATTTACAATCCACACCTAAATATGATATAGAGGGGTTGCTGACTAAAACAGACGAAAGTGTAGGTAGGTTCCACACCCTACAAGAAAGTCGAAAGACTACTAAAAATTCTATGTGGGTACGTTTTTTTTGAGTTTTTTTTTTTTACTTCGAGCTGAAAGAATCACTAATATCTAAAACGGTTTGTAGCCAAGGATGTAGCGTAGAGCTCAAGGTCCTAAGTTTAAAGGATTTTTGTTAGGATAGAGGGATTACCAGAATGGGAAAGCGTCACATTCCGATGCAAGAAACAAAAGATACTCTACTCTATATTCAAAAGTTGTTAAAATGCAAGTTTTATCCGAAAACATGATAAAATATAGGGTGATCCATAAGAAATATCAAAGTGGAAAATGTTGGCTGAATTTTGAAAAGCTAAATTCATATTTTTAACTGCCACAAAAATGTCTCCCATTTAAATTATTCTTTAATTCTTACCGTTTCTGATATCCCAATGGTGGCCTCCTTGAGTTAATCACCCTGTATAGTATAAAGAATTCGCTATTTATTGTGCTTAATTGAACTCTTTCCCATTCAGGTTAGCCTGTTACTTCAAAAAATTCTTAAAATATAAAAAAAGTGTGTAATCACTTACATTCATCCTTCTTCTTCTTGGGCACAGTCTTCTTGGCAGGGAGTTTGCGGGTTTGCACAGACGGGGCTTGTTCTCTCAGCTGACGCAACTTGTCAGTGATGAAGTGGAACATGAGATATGCCTGCAAACAACACTCACCTTTTCGACTAATTGTAATAAATCTTAATAACCCAATCCATAACTTTTTTTTAATTTCCCAACTTTGAAAAATATAAAAACAACAGTATTACTAGTTAAGTATCAAGTAACAATTTTTAAGTCTTGTGTTATTTTTAGAATGATTTTGGAGTGACTTATTTTGGCTATGTTTACAGTAGTAAAACATGGCTCACACTGCTTACACTAACGAAACTTCTCATCATTTGCTATGTAAAAAAAAATTATAAAACAATTGAAGGAATATTTTCCATGTAAAGAATAAATAATTAAATATAAACGCCTTCCCAAAGTTTTTTTTCAATTTTTCAATTTTTTTTTATTCTCGTCTCGAAAATATCCCGTTAGTAATTCAATCCCGGCCCAAGCTTCGAGATAAAATAATCTCAAAGTTTCGGGTCTTGTCCATCACCAGAATAAGCTATTACCGTAGGGCTCATGGTAAGACTTTACTCTTTACTTAATTGCTTGGATGTCACCAGAGGCAAAAAAAATGTGTTTTAAGTTCATAAATATGGGTGTGTCTGTTTGTTAGCACAAGGGGGAGTAAAAATTATCTGATTTATGATTTATCTGAAACTCGGTACAATCAATTAAATGTACGGTTATTCGAACCAGGTTTTATTAATTCACAAGGAAGTAAATTTGAGTTTGTTAGATCAGACACACTATTTGCTATTTTTTTAATAAACTATTTGATTGGTTTGAATTTTCTAGGTAGCAGCTTAAATTTCAACCATTAACATCAGTGGAAGCGCTAGGTGTTTACTCTGAACCTCTTCCCAAAAATACCTAAAAAAATACTATCCTAAATAATTTAAGATAGGCTAAGAATCTTTACGGAGAAAATTACATATCACCAAGAAAGGTTTGTACAAGTTTGACATAAAATCTTTGCTTTGAATGTTTCCCATTCAATGTAGGCCTACCAACCTGTAGCAGACAAACAGCGCCGAGAGCAAAGAGCCTGATGGGCGGGATGTTGAAGTTTCCATCGGCCAGGTCTAGGCCCTGGGTGTCGCTGAGGGACAGTCCGTACCAGAAGGTCAACACTGACAGAATGATGGACGCCAGACGAGCCAACACAAAAAATACGTCAGACACCAAGTAGCCAGCTGAAATATACACACACTGAAGATGTAAATTGAATTTAGCTGTAATGCAGGGTGGGCTTAGTAATAGCCTGGTTATCAGAAGGTTAACAGTTTGATCCTGAAAAGTCAGAATAGATTTTATAGATCAAAAAGGACCGAGCTGTCCTTGATCATTTGGATGAAATAAATTGTCCTGGCTTCTGGCTAAAGAACCAACTGATCTTGGTGACAAAGCTTTAATAATATCAACTCAAAAGTCATCCTTCATTCATCTACACATTGAAATAGACACCCTATCAAGTCAGGGTGGTACAATTATTACCCATAGGCCTACATCATCAAGAGCTTTATTAAATGGGAACTCTGGTTAGAATAATATGGCTGATAGTGTACATAATCTTTATGTTCACAAGGCTTCTTAATTGCTAAACCATTTCTTTCTGGGTCCTGTCCTGAAAAAAAAACATTACAGGTACCTAAATCTACACTTTCACTTATAAACATTCATAAACAGGAAAATTACTCAACTGAAAAAACACTATCATCCGTCACCCACTCTGGCACATACAAATCAAACTCTATAATGTAGGCTAATAATCTTAAAGGTTTAGATTGGCTTTTAACTTCTTTCTTGTTAATAAATAAACAGCTGGTTCAGATAGAAATTTATCTTTTCAAACAATAAGATCAATTAAGGAATTCTTTATGTACATACTGTTTAAAAAAAATTTGATAATGGTTACCTTTGCTGCCCTTTTCCTCTTTGTCGACAAAGTCAACGAGTCTGGCAACGTGGAACAGTGCCTCAGAAAAGTAATGGATAACCAGAAGACAGATGGCGACACGGTTGAAGCTGCAAATTAAAACCACTGACTTAGTTTAACATATTAAAGCTCTGCATTCTACAGAAAGGTTAAGAAAGAAATTGCAAAATCTTGTGTTTTGAGCGTGAAAAATGGGAAACCCCATTTTTACCTCATAAAACTCCATTTCCATAGTCTGATCATGCTGGTTTGTGAACTCATTAAAATTAATATAAACATTTGTACCACATTTCATAAAAAATCTGATCACGACATCGAGGTACATATTTTAACAAATTGTGTTTCTGGCCTCTGGGGGTTTGAAACAACAATAATGATCAGTCCTAGGTATGGATCCTGCCATTAGACCTACGGTAAACCTTATTCCCTATATGGGAAGTTTGTTAACAGCTATCGAACAGTTATTTTGTCTACTTTAGCGGACAAATTCTCTTCACAGTAATCGGTTCTGAATACTTTGATTAAATTGTAGGCCCAGAACTGTCACAACTTATAGTACAGTATTCATTCTGATAGCCCCTGGACTAAGTATATATATGACTTTTTAGGCTTACCCCCATCAGTAGTCCAAAATTGTGTCTAACTTCAATTATTCACTCAAAGCTGAAATGTATCGTTGCAATGCAGCAGCTTCAGAGCTTGCAGTACGTCAAAAACATCAAAATTTACACATAATACAGTACATATACACACAATGCCGCCGTGTTATGATAGCCCTATTGAGTTGTTTAGTGTTTAAATGTCTTATGTCGAGTATATGTACTGCATTATAATGTAAAATTAAATGTTTTTTATGTGTTGCAAACTCCGACAATATTGCATTGCAACGAAACATGTCAGCTTTGAATGAATAATTGATGTTGGTCACAATTTTAGACTACCGTACTGACCTGGTAAGCCTAAAAAGTCAAGTCACTACTTACTTGAGCAAGTAGCCTGCAGCGACGTAGACCAAGCCGACAGTAGCGTACAGAACTCTAGGGAACATTTCCTCACGTTTGGTCCTTTGGAAGTAAAGCTCTGGGTAGCAATGAAGCCAGTAAGACATTTGAATGATGAAGAAGAATTTAAACATAAAAGTCATTTCATTGTGTGGGTACCCTTCCCATAGAGACGAAATGTTCAAAACCAGGTTTTCCCTGAAAAATATCAAACAGATCACATGATTGGCATATATGTAATAAATAACATCAATCAAACAGCTTGGACTCTTCCTTGCTCGTCACAAGTATATTTCCTGTTAGAGCTCAAAGGGCACGGTCGTTCGATAAGCGAGTTCCCTCTATATCTTACTTCTCTGTGTAGATGTTACATCCCTAAAGTCTACATTTAGTATTGCCTGTTTATTTTATAACCATCATATCAGCTGGTTGTAAAGTTTACTTGTTTACTTTGTTTTTAATGTGTCTTGAATAAAGTTGGTTAACACTTTCGCTACCGCAATAGTACAAAATATTTCATTCATATAGACTAGCGTTGCACATATGCGACGGCCGGTTTCCACCCATAGACTGCCGTTGCATATATGCGACGGCTAGTCACATTAAAATAGAATGACGACGATAAGATTTAATTGTATACCTCGGTCTGTGGCAATGATCGCGGCGTCGCAACGGTAGCAAACGTGTTAATAATTAATTGTACTTTGGTAATTATATTTCATTTGATCTAATAACAAACAGAACAGGGGGGTTAGAAAAAAAATTACTTCTTGATCAGCATTGTACGACGTACGTGTTATTAAATTTACGGAAAGTAAATAAGAGAAACGTCTTATAACACTTAAAAGATATATTTACGCTTATACTGTTACTCACAAGACGGTAAATATACAAAAAAGATGGTAAGTGGTGATCAATTTCGATTGGACACTCCAATCATCATCAGACCCAATAGGCGAATGTAAAATATATTTATATATTTACGGTAATATATATTTACCGTCTTGTGAGTAACAGTATAAGCGTAAATATATCTTTTAAGTGTTATAATTGACGTTTCTCTTATTTACTTTCCGTAGAAAAAAATGTAAAAAAGCCAATAATGGCATCAAAGCAAACAAAATAAGTTGTATTGTTAACAAATTGTTAATGGACCTAATTGCCAATAGTACAGCTCGTGACACGTGTAAGCTGTCACTTGGGCCTAGGGTGGGCAGTTTATGCAGGAGAAGGATGGAGGTAAGGAAAAGACCGGACTGCAAACATTTCCTGACTCACAGGGTTGACTCGCTTTGTTTCATGTTCATGTTGAGCGCCTTCACGTCAGTCAGGAGGACAGTTGACGTGACGGCACATAATGTTTTTGAACTAGCTGCTAGTAGGGATCGGTCAAGTGCCAGCTTATGTGTCACAAGCTGAAACATTCAGTGAAAGGTTCTAGCCCTAGCCTACTTACTTTAGAATGGCATCTCCTCCCCAAAGTACTGACATCACATAAAACACCAACAGCTGTCCAGATTCATTGAACTTGCTATGCTTCACTTTGGACAAATGGAGCTTCCTGCTGATTTTCTAAAAAAAAAAAACAAAAAAACTTAATAAACGAGAATAAAATATGCATTAGTTAAGTAGGCATTTAAAGCAAAAATGCACATACAGTAAACCTTCGATAGTTTGACACTCCTTGTGGTTCAACACGGGCTAAGCTATTTTGTCAAGTGATATAATGGTTACTATCGTGATGTAAGCTGACTTGAACATTGATTTGTCATTTATTGTTGACTTGATACTTAACTAATGAACAGTGAAATTGTTAAGATTTTAGTATTTAATAAATTTGGGTGATTTATACATAAGACTTGAGTTTTTACTTTCCTGTATATTAAATTCCATTCACTCCCTATAGTTCGATATTTTGATAGTTTGACATCCCTTAAGTCTACAAAGTGTCAAACTATCGAGGTTCTACTGTAACATATAAATATGAGAGTTGTTTACAAAATAATTAACTTACTGTACTTTTAGCGAATTTTCAATAATTACCTATAGGTAGTTATTACTGTTTAGCAACGGTATACCAACAAGTATAAATATAAGGTAGCTATTACCGTAGGTGGCACAGTAAGACCTAGACCCGGGACAAATATACTTTTTCATTTTGATGTCCTTAGAGGCCAAAAACACTAGGCCTATTCCTTAAAATTGTTATATATGTATATATATTTATTAATACAGTATATAGGCCTATATATTTGCCTTGAATGTGTAGGGCGGGATAAACTTGGATGAGTTCGCGAACCAGCATAATCGGACTATGGGAACGGGGTATTATGGGGTAAAAATTGGTTTTTCTGACTTTTGACCCTAAAAACATAAATTTTCCCAATTTATCTTTAGACCTTTTTAAAGAGCTTTTTTTAAAGAAACAAATAATTTAGTATATTTAAGTGTTTTTGTACAGTTATTGGTTACAGAGAGAATTCAATAAATTGTAAATTAAAAATTTCCATTTTGTTCTAATGGAGAATAAGTTAACTGTCATAGCTTGCTTGTTTATTGGTATATTTTGATGAAACTTGGCAAATTGATTTATTTTATACTAAAGCCATTTATATTTTACTAAAAAAAAAAAACACTTTATTAGTTTCCTAATTATTTATTAGTTGTCATATTTTTTGCTCGATATTGATAGTTTTAGCGAATTTCCCATATAGGGAATAAGCTATACCGTAGTACTCATGGTAAGACCTGGACGCGGACCGATTTTTTTTTTCGTTTTGAGGTTCCTAGAGGCCAAAAACACCATCCGTTCAAATTCATATATTTATATACAGGGTGTCCCGGAACTCTCTACCAATATTTTAGGGCATTGTTCCTGGGTAAGAAACATATTATCTAAATATCATATTTAAATTGTCCGGAAGTCCTTAGTTACTCAGATAGCCGCCATTTTATTTTTTTCACTTATTAATTTTTTTCTGAACATTGGTTAAACATACGAAGTTGAAACTTTGCAACAACATTTATGACAACTAGACAAAGCTACAAAAAAATTATGACAATTTTTCAAATTCATAAAACAAAATGGCGGCTGTTTAAAATTTTGTTTCTTAAATTATTCGAAAACCGTTGATTTTACAACAATTTTACAAGGATAATTTTTTTAAGGCAATTTCATTACAAATCGATCGACACCTTAATCTTTAAGATCGGACAAGTATTAACTGAGATATGGCAGTTTTAGTGATACGTGACCGCCGGATATTAGTTGCAGCGCATGCTGAAAGCGGTCACGTATCACTAAAACTGCCATATCTCAGTTAATACTCGTCCGATCTTAAAGATTAAGGTGTCGATTGATTTTTAATAATATTGCCTTAAAAAAGTTATTCTTGTAAAGTTTTTGTAAAATCAACGGTTTTCGAGAAATTTAAGAAACAAAATTTTAATCAGCCGCCATTTTGTTTTATGAATTTGAAAAATCGTCATAATTTTTTTCTAGCTTTGTCTAGTTGTCATACATGTTTTTGCAAAGTTTCAACTTCGTATGTTTAACCAATCTTCAGAAAAAAAATTAATAAGTGAAAAAAACAAAATGGCGGCTATCTGAGTAAATAAGGACTTCCGGACAATTTAAATATGATATTTAGATATGTTTCTTACCCAGGAACAATGCCCTAAATAATTGGTAGAGAGCTCCGGGACACCCTGTATATCTCTCTCTATATATTTATATAGTCTAAATTACTAAAATAAACACAGCTTCTTTATTTATGAACTGATTTTATTCATTTTTGTTTTGTTGGATTTGTCATAATAAATACTAAAACTTTTGTCTCTTACAAAATTTTGATTTAGGTACCGGTTTTCATGAAATTTGGCATTAAAAAATTCAAACGGCCGCCATTTTGAAATTTGGAAAGTTAAAATAATATTTTTTTTAATAAATGTTACTTACTATAGTGTAAACAATTTTGCCAAGTTTCGTAAAAATATCTCAAAGGGATTTTGAAATAATAAATATTTTCCCCAAAAACAAAATGGCGGATTACGGCTAAACTAAGCCGAAATCCAAAAAATTTTATTCCTCATTTTTGACTTATTTTTGCATGTAGAATTAGGTCCTGTATAGCCCATCACACTTTTTTGTGACACCCTGTATATGTGTCCGTTAGCACGATAACTTGAGCAAAAATGATCCGATTTTGATGAAATTTGGTACAAACATGTAAACCTACGTTTATTTGAACGAGTTCGCGATCCAGGATGATCGGACCATGGGAACGGGGTTTTATGGGGTAAAAATAGGTTTTTCCCATTTTTGACCCAAAAAACATAAAATTTAGCAATTTCTTTCCAAACCATTTTGTAGAGCTTAAAAAAACAAATAATTTAATATATTGAAGCGTTATTATGCGCCTAATGGTTACGGAGAAAATTTAAAAAAATTGTAAATTTAAAATTCCCATGTTATTTTTATGGAGAATAAGTAAACTGTTTGCTTGTTTATGAACATATTTTGATCAAATATGGAAACTGTTTTTATTTCTTACTAACTACTAACATTTTACAAAAAAAAAAAAAAAATAACAGTTTTACCCTCCCTGATGCAGCAAACCTAAGTACTTCTTAAACTAATTCTATTTAAATCGGGAATAAATGTTATATTTTTAAGTAGACATTTCAGTGTAAATCCAATCAGTCAAATGGAAATTCGCTTAGTCTGCAGGTTTGCTGCGGCGGGGGTATTTTTAATTCTAATATCTTGTTTTGTTACACCATTTTGTCTCCACTTTTCTTCTGAAACAACACAACCAGATGCATAATAAAGGCCAATGACCTAATGATTGTGCAATGTTGTATTTTGATGTAAAAATGCATATCATGGGATTAATTTGAATATATTTGTAGTTAATTAAAATTAAATTTTTGATAATTCAAAGTTTCTACATTGAAAAAGAGAATCTGAAGTCAAACCGGGCAAAGGATACTCGAAAATACAACCTTGTATCATTGTCCTGCTATTAGAATCCAAAGCCAAGCCAGCCCTCTAGTCTAAATATAGCTTTAAGAGGCGGTCGGATAGAGCTCCGTATCCCATATTTTGCAGGCGTCACGAGCAACAACACAGTTCTCCCAAAACAGACTTTTGCAATAGTACCACCCTTGGCCACCAGTTTCGTGGCTGTCGCATAACGGGATCTGAGATTGTTGACAACCCTGTGTTACCTAGAAACTTGAAATCATCAACTCGACTACCCTCAGCCCGTGTCCTAGCCCTTGTCTATTGTCCCACCGCATGTTTCACTTTCACTGGTTTGCTACCTTCGCTCACCCACCCTTTGCGTCTCAGCAGGTCTCAGATCGTCACCGCACAATATGCTAATTTTCCACACAAAAAAGTTTTGGACGTACAAATAACACTTTCAGTAAGACATTTTGATTTATACACTTAATTTCAATATAAAAATACATGATAATGTATATTCAATTATAAATAATATACTAGTAATACTACTAATGTAACTACAGTACTTGGCCTATCCCATACATTTTAGCGAATTTCCCTATAATGAGGTAGCTATTACCGTAAGTGGCATGGTAAGACCTATGCCCGGGACCGATTTACTTTTACATTTTGATGTCCCCAGAGGCCAAAAACACCATTCGTTCAAATTTTTATATATATGTGTGTCCGTGAACACGATAACTTGAGTAATTTTTGTCCGATTTTGAAGAAATTTGGTTTGAAAGTGTAAGGCGGGAGGCGGGATAAACTTGAATGAGAGTGTCATCAAATTTTATGATAATCGTATTTAGGCCTAATCCTAATCAAACTGTGAAATTGGTGTAAATCCGTTGGCAAATATATAAATAAGTAAATAAATGCACAGTCCACAAAACATTGATACGTTAACTTTAAAAATTCATTATGGTTTGCCCGGAAAAAATCTTTCACTTGATGTAGTATCTTGGTATCAGTATCGAAGTAAAATTAAAATTCATGATGTTGCCCCTGAACTGTTTAATTAGACTAATATGAGGTACGCACCTTTACGTCAACAGTTCAATTGTAGTAAGTAGAACTCGCAACATGTTTCGCCTATTCAAACCTATTCAAACAGTATCGGAGTTATTAATCTCCCTTGGTTTTGGATTTATTTTTGAAAATCAAAGTTATTTCCCATTAATAGCATTATTTGTAAGCAGCTTATGTTAACATATTAATGACAGTTTGAAGAAAAAACCTTTATCCAAACAAAGGGTTCTTATTTGAAAGATTACGTAATCTCTCAACGATGATCGGTATATCTAGCAAAAACATTCAGAGGAAATGTGACAAAAATGCACTAATCTGGGGTTTTGGACCTTTGTAGTTTTACTTCCTAAGTAGGAAGGCTATGTATTCTAGGGAAAAGTACCGATATCGTTGTCGAAATGTGGTTGTGAATAATTAGGCCTACGTAGGGCCTACCCAAGAGATGGGCTATGGGCCAAGATTTGCGGTATGGTCCAACGATTGCAGCACAAAGAGGTAAGTAGGAACCAAAAGTGACACATTGGAAAAGCGAGTTTAGCTACATCTGTAAGTTCAACCTCTGTTACGATCACAGCGAAATCAGAAAGATCCTCCAAGATCGTAGCAACATCCACGATCACCCACTGACTGCAGTTGTGATTTTTTACTTTGCACTTTAACACAACTGTCCTTGAAGCGCAATGAGTGGAAACTTTTTTTATGTTATTGGTGGAGATGATTAAAACATCCAAGTTTCCCAGCACTGAGCACTATACAACACTGATTCAGGGTCTTTTCTCCGGTTATCAAAACTTAAGAACAATCGTTGCACTTGCGATTAATTAAACCGGCTAAGTACGGCACAACGTATTTAATCCCACTTGGTTTGGATGTGCTTACAAAACTTGATCAGAAATGGTTGCGGTATTTGTAAACAGTATTTAATGTAAACATATCATATGTTACAGCTAGAAGTGAGAACTAATCCAAATAGCTGATCGTTATTTCATAAAATTTAATAGTAAACATTGGAAGAAAATTTGACAAAAATCGAACAAAATTGGGTTTTTGATGGCTCGTTATTTTGTTTTCAAAGAAGCGGGGCCATGTTTTTATAGCCAAAGAAACTCACTAATCCAGTAAATACAGAAAAATGATTTGAACCATGATCGGTATTCTAGTTTTCTAGGAGTAGGCAGCGTAAAATTACATTTTGGCGTCACTGACAGAATGACAGAATGGACAGACAGACAGAAATTGAGATAAGACTCGTTTCGGCTTTCTTAGGCTATGAAACATAATAGAACCAGAAACTGCATGATTCTAAGCAATGTAGGCCTACAGATAAAACTGTATTTTATTTATATAGATAGATGGAACGATTTAAATATAAAAAATAAAAACAGTAGGTCCTATGTGTCGTATTTTTACGTTTCAAAGCCATTTGAAGTTGTAATCTGGCTCTGGCTGTTTTTTCTAGATTTTGCCTTATCCTGTGCCTCTAATATATAAAAAGGATTTCGGATGGGCACTTGGGGTTTTATCTTAGCTCGAATATTATAGACCTAAAACGGGACATCGCAATTCCAAGATAATCCATGAGTCAGAAGTCGGCTTGGCTACGACGCAGTGCTCGTCCGGAGGGTGGATTTGGTTCCTGGAAGACCTTAATCGTATATACCACGTATGTCAGAAAATGCTTTTGTTCCACTGGACCTTGTTTTCTTACTGACAAATAGTTTGTATCAAATCGTGTAAATTGCAGCAGCAATCTTTATACAGCTAAGCCCTTAATCAACGTACTAAGTATGACCAAAAGAGACGTTTATTCTAACGGAACTTGTTTTATATTGATGAATAGTTTGTATCAAACCGGGTGTTGTAGAACTACTTTTATCTCTGATGACAGTAATATTTTAATACATACGGTAAATACACAGTCCAAAAATATTAGATTCTTAGATTCCTATGAATTAAATATAATTATTTCCTTGGCATTATAATACATCAGGGATGTAACGACATACCGTTATTTATTTATTTAAACAGATCTGTGGCCAGTTTAAATGAATTTTATTTGGCGCGGTTTGAAAACGTGCTCTGTAGTCCACAATCGACTGTGCTGCCATCGGCCGGGACATCGTCGAACTAGTACTCAGTCGGCAAGCAAGGATTTTTTGCAAGCTTTTACAAAAAAATACAAAACTTAATGTTAACCATCGAAAAATAAATATCTGTCACACTCAATACACTAATGAATATATGCTCTTCAATATGGCGTTTGAACCAGAATGGTTTATAGTGCCAGTCATTTTATATTTTAGCAGAAAGTATTGCAATTCCTTATGGGAAATGTAAGAAATGATTTATTTTATATCCGGCTTATAATTAAACATTATGATTTTTATATTGTACAGTCTTAATCCTACATACATTTCCAATGTTTTGAGTGTGGGAAATAATTTTTGGAATACGGATAGACCAGAAAACGAGGAATTATTATATGCGCTCCATGTTAAAGTGACGGCCAGTGCCGGCAGCCGAGAATCTCTGTCCGACCGCCTCTTAAGGTTGCACCCTCCCCTCCCCCCACACCATCTCCATTCACAATGGCCCGCTCCTTTTGAGGTCATTGTCCAACCCATCCCACCCTTCTATTGTTTTGCCTTTTAGGCTAGTACTCAGTGCACCGTAGACCCCTAACTAAATGCATTTATGTTTTTAAAAGTTTAAATTAAACAACCCGTTATTGTGTTGGTTGGGAAAAAGTAACCAGTAGTGTTACATTATCTTGTCAAAATTTTGCTGCAAACATGTTTATTCCTAAAAATTCTTTACCTAATTTTTAACTAATTTATTAAGGCTATGACCTATCTGAATAGTAAAATAGGTTAAGCCTTTATCTTAACTGTTTTTTTTTTCTTGGCATAATAATGTTAGGAGTAAAAGGTGTTGATAATGTTTTAAACTGTAATTGTTTTTAGAAAACCATAAATGTAGGAAATTATTCATTTTTACAGTAGGGTAACATCAATTAAATAAAATGAGAAAAATACTGGAAGCCCTGTACCAAGAACACCTGTACCATTTTGTACCAAGAACATAACATAAAATTGCCCTTACATATTATGTAAGGGCAAACATCGATTATTTTAAAATGTTACATTGGTTAAAATCAGAATTATTAACCTTAGTAGAGTTCCAAAGCTGTGATTGGAAAACTCTTCGGAGTCTATAATAATAACATAAATATTCGCTCGGTAATATTCGATATTCGAAAATATTATGAAGTATTCGATTCGAACCCAAAAATCACTATTCGCACACCCCTAGCCAAAATTAAGACTTTTAGATTTTTTTCAAGACAACGTGTTTTACGAGATTTTGTTGACCACGACTCGAAAATGTTAAGCGCGTAAAATATTGTTCATAATAGGGCCTAGCAATTATATTAAGCTGTTAGTGCTACGAGGTTCGTTTATATATGTAAATGAAAGTTCAGAATCTCCTCTTTCCAACGGTATCAAAATTAAGTTACGCTTCTGGATCATTTTCATTGCGTGGTTTACAAGCGTTTGAAAAAAAATGTTCAAAACGCTGTTTGGGCACCGAGCGCACACATCAGAACACCGTTTAAACGGTACAAGGCAGTCCTAGGGTTAATTATACCAACACATTAAAGCCATCTAAGTTATCATTATGCCAACTACTCTGCAACTTATTTTAAAACCGAAAACATATCAAATAGGCTGAATACTTAGTTTTAGAATACTCACATCCAAAACATATTCCTGGATTATTGCATGCATGACAATACAGATGAGGAAGTAAAAGAAGACAGCACAAATATCTTTGTATCCGTAGGTGAAGCGAGTGACATCTGGGGTTTCTGCAGACTGCTGTTCAGAACTAACATTGTGGTGGACGGCAATGAACATATAAGCCAAAGGCGACGTAACCTGTCAAAACAAAACATAATTTATTAATAAGTTACTTAAAACATACTAGGACTAGGCCTACTGGATCCAACAGACTCTTTCAAGAAACGGAAATCAGATTGTAACTTAATTAGGAAAAGGTGTTCAGTTTCCTAAGTGTTCAATCAAAACCTTAGGCCAAGTCTTATTAGCAAGACTGTGTTTTTATGGTTTTGTTTAAGAATTCGACAGGTCCATACTAATGCCCTAATAATAAGCCTACCAGGTCATTATACAGTAAGTTAGCAAAACTGGCCTATAGCTGGTATATAGCTGAGTGGTCATAAGTGCTCGCCTAGTAATCAAAAGGTCGCCGGTTCAATCCTGAGACAGTAAGTTAGCTTTTTGATGGTTCGAAACTGGACCCAGCATTTCCTGATCATTGGGCTTTAAATAAATGATCATGACTAATGAAACCGCTGATCTTAGCCAGTAACAAAGCTACACAGGTCATACCACACCATTCTACACTCATCCTTCACTCATATTTGGGTTAAAACATGGACCTAGGTGGCGTCCCCATCTCAATGATTGATAATTGATAGGCAGAGGATACACGTCCGGTGACTGGACGTGGATTAGACCAAACTTGCTGATAATGAAAAAATCAAATGAAAGGTTAAATTCTGTCCATAAAAAAAATATAAATGCCACAAATTCTAACAAAAGATGTAATTACAGTTAAGAAGAAATGGTATTCGAAGCTAAATCTTTGACAAAAAGGGTAAGTCACCAATGGGATTCGAACTCTGGACCTTTTGCATATCAGCCAAGCACCTTATCCACTAGGACTACACTACGAACACCGGTGGCTGTTCATCGTATCGTTGTGGTAATGGCTCCAGGCTCCTACAACCCGGTGACGTCATTGCCGGACGCCTTATCCACGTCCGGTTGCCAGACGTGTATCCTCTGTGTAATTGATTATCCACGTCCAGTTACCGGACACGTATCCTCCATGTAATTGATAATTGACAACCTTTTACCCCCCTTGATGTGGTCTAGGCCTAGGGTTTTCTGCCTATATAACCTACCTGTTTCTTATGAAATGTATGTTGGTATATTAAGTCTCAGACAGACAGTTGTTTCAAATAATAACTAATCATTAGTCAAAATAAATAATATTCCCATTTTACTTACCTGGACCATCAATCCAACTACAAATATCATAGCAAAACATGATACAATATCAGCATGATTTTGTATTACAAATTCATGACTGAAAAACGGTGGGTTTTTGGTTGAGGACTTTCTTCCTTTTAACGCCATTTGTAGAGTTTAAACTCAAGAAAATGTAAAAACCGATTTAACTTAAGAGGGGAACGCGGTGTATCATTCAAAGATTTCACCGAAAGAAGGAAAGAAAGTCGAGCTGAGGATGAAACGTCAGACAACAATCCAAAATCCAACTGTTGGTGTGTTGGCAGAATGCATATTGTGACGTCGCTTAGGACTACTTTTTATCCACAGAGTATATAGTTTATTTCATTTTAAACAGATAGTATACAGAGCTTTATCACGGCCGCCTTTAACTCCGCCGCGGCCTTCGAATTGGCAACGTTGCAAGTGGTGTTGTAGTAGCAGTTTAGTTTGGCTGCAGCTAATGGTATTTGTGTATTTACGAAAGCTTGGTTACTGGACTATGACAATATTGACTCCACTTTAAAAAGTTCAAAAATTGATTTTCTATTAAAATATTGTTTTTGTTTTCAATTCTATATGTTTTATTTTCAATCTTTCAATAAATTTATGTTAATAAATTTTAATTTTAATGAATAATACGCGAAATAAGGAGCTGATATCACCTGTCTGCCATGTTATCTTATGGGACGTCTGGCGCTAGACAACACCTCTTGCGACGTTGCCAATTCTACCAGGCCGCGGCCTGGAGGTAAAGGCGGCCGTGGCTTTATGCATATTTATTGGTTTTCTTATTTTTAACAATGACTTATATATTTTACTAAGCGTTTTACTATACTACAAGGTTGAAAATTTGGCGTTGTCTGAGAAGTATTATTAAAAAGTGAAAATGCCATATGTATTTTCCTTCCACCATGATATCATTGTAGATTGTACCATTATACCACGGCCGCCTTTGATTATACACGCTTATTAATTATATAAATTGAAATTGCAAAAATGCCTAGGTTGCCGCTGGCACCTTGCTTGATGGGGCCCAGGAGGTGGACCAGAGGACCACCAACCTGTGGTGGAGAGGCATTCTACAACCTGTGGCCTATCTTTGGACTCTGACTGATGCCCCCTCTCCGCCCGGCTTCATCGCCCCTCCAGCTGACCTGTGACTGAAGATAAGACATAAGACATAAAATATTCATCATTTTTACATATGTAATGCATGGATAGGTCAAATTGTTGGTAAATACATGTCGTATTCAGTTTTTACATTGTTTTCAATACAACTTTTAATCATTTAGTTTGTTTGTTTTTAAATTTAAATGAAGTCGTTTGTTCCAAATGTGTGAATGCCATGTAAGCCGTCTGTCGAGATGCATACCAAGGTACTTAAAAAGAGATTGTAAGCTGTGGACTCAAACTTGCGTAGACTGTCAATAAACAAAAATCCAACGACATACTAAATCACCTCTTACAAACTTCCTTATTCCGGATCAACGGTTTAAGTCAATCAACATTGACATCGTGGGCCCATTGCCTTTGTGCAAAGGATTTCGTTATGTGCTGACAGCAATTGATCGGTTCTCTCGTTGGTTAGAAGCTGTTCCTATTGAAGATCAATCTGCTGATACTGTGGCTAAAGCGTTGGTAAACACTTGGTTTTCTTGTTTTGGTATACCTTCTCAAATAACTACTGACCAAGGACAGACACAGTTTGAAAGTCAACTTTTTCAATCCCTAGGAAAGTACTTTGGATTTAAACATGCTATTACCTCAGCTCTTAATCTCATGCTTAATCCTCAATCAAATGGATTAATTGAAAGACAACACAAGGACAATGAAAACAGCACTAAAATGTCATCTTCTGCAACATAAATCATGGGTGGAAGCCTTACTAGTTCTTTTGGGTATGTGTACAGCATTGAAGGACGACTTACAATGTTCTGCTGCTGAACCGGTTTATAGATCACCAAGACAAACCAAGACAAACTTCTACTCATGGTTCGCCTAAGACTTTTGTTCCACAAGAACTATTTACTGTTTCTCATGTGTTTCTCCGGCAAGACATGTTGTTTGGTTCACTTAACCCTAATTTTTCAGGACCCCACAAGGTGTTGACTAGAAATGAAAAATGTTTTGAAATTGAAGTGAACGGAAAAAAAACCAAAAGTTTCAATTGACCGTTTGAAACCAGCGTTTCTTCTTGAAGACTACATTCCCGAAAAAGGCAAAGAAGAAAGAAAAATCACAAGACAATCCAACAATAAAAATCAGTCGATCCCACAGCAGGCAAACCACACAAGGTTCAAAGATCGAGATTTGTTCGTGTGGTAAATAATTCCTCACTTAAAGCGAGGGACTCATTCTAGGGGGGGAGTGTGTAGTGTCTACTCTTCCTTATGGTCTTTACCACCATATTAAAAGACAGTTGTTTTAACTAAATATTTAACATATGTTGGTTTTATTATTATTAATTTTTGATTTGTAAACAGTTCAGTTTTTACTTTGTTTTTAATACAACTTTTAATTATTTAGTTTGTTTGTTTTTAAATTTAAATGAAGTCGTTTGTTCCAAATGTGTGAATGCCATGTAAGCCGTCTGTCGAGATGCATACCAAGGTACTTAACTTCGTTGGATTGTGGAAGCATGACATTATTCAATGTTACTGGGGGACAAGTTCTTGTAGACATAGTAAATGTAACTTGAACGGATTTTGTTTCATTTACTTTAATTTTCCAATTTTATACAACTATTGATTTTTTGAGCGAAGCTCTTATACGTCGACTCTTAATGCATTTCGTAATACTGTACGCAAACTCCTCCTGGAGGGCTGAATCAATCGTTTTCAAATTTTGCATGGTGATAAAGACCATATCGGTGAGTGCCAACATCTATATGGCGTTAAAAAAGTCTCTCAGGAATCCGCCCCACTGGGTCTCAAAGATTCAATGTAATCCTTATGGAAGCAGTATTTTGACACATAAACAAAGACATATGATCAGCTGTTGCGAAAAATTTTGAATGCAGTAATCTTAAATGCTATGATAAGGGAAGGAAACAGGTCTATGACGTAGGAAATGGTGAAGCAATTAGTAAGGCTAGCAGTGAAGAGTGTTGGAACTGTCTTTGGCAATTACATTAATGTATCTGCAATCCTAAAATGCTATGGGAAGAGAGGGAAACAGGTCCACGACGTAGGGGGTGGTGAAGGAAGTAGTAAAGGTGAGCAGTGTTGAGTGTGGGAATGGATTAATGTATCTGCAATACTAAAATGAAAGCACGAATCGATACATATTTTAGATACATGCAATCGTTTACAATCGAAATTTACAACGGAGTTGACAACAACTGATTTTTACTCCATCAAGACTAAAAACGATTTTTACTCCCTAGAAAGTAAAAATGCTACGTTAAACCCGCAACGCATGCATTAAAAACGACTGTTTTTACTGCAGTATGACAAAAAAAATATAATATGAACCCTTGATGACTCCGCTCAATTTTGTGGATGCCTCTGCGAACGCCACCTAGTATCATTTACTTTAATGATTCAACGCCCAGCGCTTATTGGACGACCGTGCGCTTTCAGTTTCAGCACTCATAAACTTTTTATTTAATTTTTTTGCCCTAGTAATTTCAAGCTGGATAATTTTCATGTTTATCTTGCTTGAATCAATATTGAAACAATTCTCGTACAAAATATGTCAGGATGTGTAGTTCATCACGACTTAACTATTGGGAGTTAAAGGTGGTCGTGCTATGGGATAACATACTTTGGATTTGGCGTGTTTATAATCTTTCTCACTTCGCGTCGCGTCGTTGCGTTTCCATTTTCTGTAGTCTCTACCAGCTGTAGTACGTACAAACTGTCAACATTTGACACATTTCGATCTTCTGCTTTTGAGATGTGTTTGTATCACTGAGCTTTGTTTAGTACAGTACAGAACTTAAAAAGGTTATGTATGATAGGAGTAATAATTATTAAGTTTTTACAAGGACCAGCTAACTTCTCTAAAATGTTAAATACATTTAACTCATGATAGACCGAATGTGTTCACCAACAATTGAGTTTAGATTTCATAATAATTAATCAGGTTTACATGCAATCTGAATGGAATTTTATTCAGAAATTAAGGACTTAGTGACTGTGTCAAATCAAAACAAGGCTACATTTTGGCCAAGGACCTATTCCTAAAAGTTTAATATGACGAAACTTCTGTTAGCATTTTACTTTTTTCTCACCGTCAATTGTAAGTATAATTTAGTATCTTAATTGGTGGTTAAGATAATCGGCTTAATATTTTTATGCCCTGCATATGATTCGTGTTTGCTGGGTTGCAAGTGTAACTTTAATTCCTCATACATTTTAATGTATTGAGGTTAATTAATACTAAGTTATGCTAATATTTTTGTTATGGGTACAGTTTACGCAGAGGATACGCGTCCGGTAACCGGACGTGGATTAGGCGTCCGGCAGTTACTGTCATAACCTAACCTAACCAACCAAACTTGCTGATAGTGAAAAAAATCAAATGAAGGTGCAATTCTCTTCATAACATAAAATTATAAATGCCAAAAATTCTAACAAAAGATGTACAGTTAAGAAGAAATTACATTCAAAGCAAAATCTGTGACAAAAAGTTGAAGTTACCGATGGGTTTCGAACCGGGGACCTCTCGCATATCAGTCGAGCACTCTATCCACTACACCACGAACACTGATGGCTGAACATCGTATCATTGTGGTAATGGCGTTCCGGGACCCCCTACCGGACCCCTAATCCACGTCTGGTTACCGGACGCCTAATCCACGTCTGGTTACCGGACGCGTATCCTCTGTGTACAGTTTATTAACTGGGCTATGCTAATATCAGCAAGTTTGGCTGGTTAGGTTAGGTTATGATAGTTTAATTTTATAATAGATAGGTTATAGATACCTATATATAAAAATATCGATTATTGAACAATATTTCGAATTCAATAGTTTCAATCGACATTAGCATAAGTTAGCCCAGTTAAGAAACTGTACCCTTTTGTTATTACCATCTTATGTTGAATAGGCCTACTGCTAAAAACGCACTTCTTTTCAGGCTCCATCCACAAAAATGTCAAATACTTCGAAACCCTACATGCTTCAGAATTAACCCACAATGTATTAAAGCATGGTTTGAAAGAGAGCGCACATCCTTTTAATAGAATTAGAGAAGTCTCCTTTAAAACTCTGGGAAGGTAAGCCTTTTAACCCTCCAAGTGTCTCTAGTTTTGGTCTTAATGTTCGCCCATTTATTGCGCAATCGCAGGGTTTTATTAAAATGTATCTTAGAAACTTAAAAACAATGTAAAGTATACTGTTTTGTTTCATTTTGTTTGTAAAATTAAGGGCTTCAATGTAACATATAAAACATTAAAAAAAAATGTTCAACAATTTTTGTGGGGTTAACATTTCTCAAAAATTATAAAATAAATGAAAAAAATTTATGTTTGCGCTCAATAAATTGTTATAATTTATAGTTCTACAAATATTTAAAAATAGCCACTTTGTTCAGAATTTTTTGAGGATTCCAAAAATATAATAATATAAGGAAGTAGGTTTGCAAATAAATAAGTTATGGGCAAAAAACAGATTTCGGTACATAGCGTTTAGCTAAGAATTCATAGCCTAACCATAGCTAGGAATCTGGCTGATAATTTACATCAATATCGCTACCTACCTACTTCTTCAGGATCATCAACCATCCCTTCAAAATCACTTAAATCTTCTTATAATGCACCATGTATATCACTACCGGTACTTTTGACTTTTAACACTAAAACAATGATAAACGTAATAAAACACATCAGTCATCGGTGCGAGGTTAACCAAGCTATTTACAAATACGCACGTCAGCTGTCTGCTACAATATTTTCGGAACTAAAATGAAAAGCGTATAGAAACAGACATCAGGAGAAAGCACTGAATCTGCTGAAAAAACTATACCTAACTCGATCCAGTTCAATCCGATTCAGTCAGTCCCAGAGCCGTCGCCGTAAACAGTGTTTATGAGTCGCAAAAGCGACACATAACACTACAGCGGATGTGTTATGAGTCGCTTTTACGACACATAACACTCGGAGGGTTAAGCCTATGGTATTATAATTTTTAGGTTTTAGCAAATTTCCCATATAGGGAATAAGCTATTAAGTTACCGTAGTACTCATGGTAAGACCTAGACCCAGGCGGGACCGATTTACGTTTTCATTTTGAGGTCCCCAGAGGCCAAAAACATCTTCCGTTCAAATTCATATATACAGTATATAAATATATATAGGCTACCGGTATATAATTAAATGATATAATATAGGCTATATATTGAACATAACATAACTAATACCTATACAATAGGCCTATATATATATATGTGTGTGTGTCCGTTAGCATGATAACTCGAGCAACAATCATCCGATTTTGATGAAATTTGGTATAAACGTGTAAACCTACATGTACTCGGACGGGTTTGCGAACCAGCATGATCGGACTATGGAAACGGGGGTTTATGGGGGGTTTTATGGGGTAAAAATAGGTTTTTCCCATTTTCGACCCCAAAAACGTACAATTTTTCAATTTTTTTTCAAACCATTTTGTAGAGCCTTAAAAACAAATAATTTAGTATATTGAAGCTTTAATATGCACCTAATAGTTACGGAGAAAATAAAAATAAAAAAATAAAAAATTCCCATGTTATTCTTTTGGAGAATAAGTAAACTGTTGTATTTTGCTTGTTTATGAAGATATTTTGATCAAATTTGGAAAATGTACTCATTGCATATTAAACTATTTCACAAAAAAAAAATTGTTCTTACCCCATGTTCCAGAAAACCTAAGTACTTGTTAAACCAATGCTATTTAAATGGGGAATAAATGTGATATTTTTAAGGAGATAATTAAGAGTTAATCCAATTAGGCAAAATGGAAATTCGCTTAGTCTATACGTTTGCTGCGGCGGGGGTATTTTAAACTGTCGTCGTTTGAAAAAATTTGAATCCATACAAAAATATCCTTTTGCTCAATGTATAAAAGTCTTAATTGATTTATTCAACTCACCCAGGCACTTCAGACTTATTTTAACGCCAAGGAAGAATGTAATTCACTCCAAGTTTGAAGCTGTTGCTGTGGACGGAGAAGGGAACGAGACTCCAGTCGGGGTTGGTGAGTTACCCAAGGTTTTCTTGTAATTAATATCTGATTTGTATTTAATCATAACTAATAAACATTTAAGACCTTAAAAATGGTGTCAATATAATCAAATTTAACACTTACTTTATACTTTTTCAATGAAATGGGGACCATACAAAGTAGGTATTTTAAGCCAAGTATGAATGGAGATGAGTGTAGGATGAGTGGCGCTATCTTGTAGTCTTGTTAGTGATTAAGGCCGACTTATTCCTTAGACACAGCTGTTAATTAATAGCCCATACAGGTAATAGCAACTAAGGGACCTGAAGGACAAACATTCTAGCATAGTAATTATAATCCCTATGGGTGTGTTTGTCTCTTGGTAAAAAAATTAATATCCTCATTTACTTGAACTTATTTCAAATTTCAGTATAAAATATAATTTTTTAATGAATTTGACAAAAAAAGGTAACATAGGCATGGAATCTCGGCCAGACAGGAGACAGAAGTTCATTTTCATAAAACCATAGGACCATGTTATATAATTTTACTAGCTGGCCCGACAAACGTCGTCCTGTCCTATTGTGGTTTTATGTCACATGCTCGTTCATTTTCAAGATGAGCTCGTTTGCATGGCTCAATCACGTCCTGGTTGAAGTTTGTTCGCTACGCTCACTCACCTTTAGGTTGGAGCTCGTTCGCTGCGCTCACTTGCCTTCAGGTTAGCTCGTTCGCTACGCTAACTCGCCTCCAGGTTGAAGTTCGTTCGCTACGCTCACTCACCTTTTGGTTGCAAGTTAGCTGTTCTCATAAATTAAAAAAAATATAGTGCTGCACCCTGTTGGTAAGCCTATTAACTTTTTAATGCTATTGAACATCACAGAATCAGATAGTTTAGTTGAACCAGCTGTTAAGATTCTTTAATTCCATTTAAATATGAGTACTCATAAGGTTAACATGGGAAACTCCAGAGCCACTGGGGCGGAGCCCTTTTGACGGATCTGCACCAAACTTCACACAAACCATCCGTGAATAATGCTTAATAATGCCTGAAAGTTTCATTACAATCTGTCGAGCGGTTTCGGAGTCCATAAAGGACAAACATATAAATATACAAACATACAAACATACATTGGATTTTATATATATAGATTAGTTTCTAATATATTTGGCTTTGGGCCATTTTTGTGGAAGTTTTTAAATTCATGAAAAAATCAAAAGAAAGTTAAAATCCAACAAAATAGATGTTTGAATTTAATTTTAAAATCTTTCATAGCTACCCTACACCACACCACAGACTGACCAACGTATGTTTAACCGGTACTTTCCTGTTAAAGGGAACATTCATTATTATCGATGATTTTTATCGATATATCGATATAAACAAATTGAAACATATCAGCTGACAACTATGATAAATATTGTTCAGCATATGAAATTGTTCTAAAAAAATAACCTAACATAACTAACCAAACTTGCTGTAACATTTAAAAATTCCGTGTTTAACTTGCCTTTTCTATTATTAAACCCAAACGGAATGTTTAAATGGTACAGCAAGTTTGGTCGGTTATGTTAGGTTAGCTTAGAACAGTTTCATTTTTTAATCCATATATTAGACAATTTAGCCTAAACAAGATCAGTTAGTTAATTCTGTCAATTTGTAATGGATCGGATTGGAAAAAAAAACATCGATATATCGAAACAAAATCATCGATAATAATGAATGTTCCCTTTAACAGGAAAGTACCGTTTAACCTATGGCTCACACTACATTTATTTATAGCTAAAAAGTTCATGAATCATGGTTAGCTGTACTAGTTTTAAAACCTTCAAAGCTTAATTTTCTCAGGGTCAAACCGGCAACCTTCCTTTAAGGAGGTGAGGGTTTTTTACTCTCAAAACTCAACTATGTTATTCATGTATTAATAATTGTAACTAATGCACTTTCCTAATTATAAATAAATTTACATTACCTATTTATCTTTCTGACCAACTTTTGCTTTAGTACTTATACAATTTTGGTAATGGCTACATTTTTACATAAATACATCGAGAAGGAATAGGTACAGAACTAACTTAACCAAGAAAAGAGTTTAAGGCAGTTAAAAGCTCACAACAAGTTCATAACAACAATTTTCACAAACAATTTTACACTTCACTCTTACAAGAGGGCTTCTTCGGAAAGATATATATTTTTTTCACAAAAACAAAATGATTCAACTGTAATTAAATCGACAGAACATGAAGACTTCTACGATGGACGAGTGTTTGGTGAGTCATGGTCCGATGCCAGTGTCCATATGAAGGATGGAGTTTTGACTGCTACGATACAACTGGCAGACGAAACATACAATATTGAGGTAAATTGTGTAAGAAGAGTGTTACTATTTACACTAACATCTGTGAAGAGTTGTGCAGGACAAGTTCACTCATAACTAATATCTAGAAAGTCATATATCTATATATAAAGCCAAAAGTACCCATGAACTTTTGAGAAAACTAGGCTACAAGTCCAATCAATAGTTTTATTAATACTTATGAAGTCAAACGGGGTGAAGCCCGTGGGTAACAGCTAGTTTTATTTATGGAAATTTAAATACAGGCCTGTTTCTTAAATGTTTAATTGTTTTATGTTACTAGCTGTACCCGCGGGCTTTGCCCCGTTTAACTTCATAAGTATTCGCATGGCTCAATCACGTCGTGGTTGAAGTTTGTTCGCTACGCTAACTCGCCTCCAGGTTGAAGTTCGTTCACTACGCTCACTCGCCTTTTGGTTGCAAATTAGCTGTTGTCATAAATTAAAAAAAAATAATAGTGCTGCACCCTGTTGTTAATCCTTGTAACTTTAATGCTATTGAACATCATAGAACAGAACCAACTTGTTTAATTGAAACAGCTGTTAAGATTGATTAATTCCTTTTAAATATGAAAAATCATAAGGTTAACATGGGAAACTCCAGAGCAACTGGGGCGGAGCCCGAAAGCCCGATCAGAACAAAAACTACTTAGTTTTCCTATTTAATGCCCAAAGAATTGGTGTACCGAATTTCAGCCTGCTAGGTAAATGGGAAGTGGGAGAATTAGTGATGAGTGAGTGAGTGAGTGAGTGTGTCAGTGAGGGCTTTGCCTTTTATATATTTAGATTCGTGTTCGTACTGTGTTTATCTTCTGACGATGTTAACTACTGATCAACTCTACATATGTACCTGAAGCTGATGATGGTGTTTTAACACCGAAACATGTCCTGAATTGACATATTTGATGAGAATACGTAAGTAATTTAGTCTTACATTATGTCCAACAGCTCAGGGGCTAATGGATTTTAATTGGAAATTTAAGATTTCTACTATAACTCTTGTCAAATTATGAATCATCACCTTGACTGTAATAAACGATAAGTCTTTATAAAAAGCCTCTAAATCATTGCTATACTAATACTGTATTTTAATTAATTCTTTGTCTTTCAGCCGTCATGGCGACATCTACATCATCTGGACAACCAGTCTATGGTGACTTACAAAGCCTCTGATGTGCAGTTCAGTTGGGACCAACCTGACCATCCACATCAACCTTGCGCTTATGTCAAGGAGGAGACAGGTTTGTGGTGTGAAACGTTAGGTTAGGTTATGACTAAGATAGGCAATATAACCCAAATCAACCTACAACCTTGCATGTGGTAATAAGGGCAATCATAATTGTCGGGGTAGCCAAGTGGTTATAGAGCTTGCTTTCTAATATGAAGGTCGCAGAGTTGATTTATAAAATGTGATTTATTCTGGATACAGATGACATATATTTTTCTATAAATTAATGATGATTAATGATGGCCATGGTTTGGAACATTTTCTTACAAAAAAACTTAAAAAATTCCATTGACTTAGATAAACATTAACACAATAGAACCGTCCAGTGTAATAGAGGCAAACATCCCATTAGTAAGACTGTAAAGAGGGACAGTGGTTTACCTTATCTATAATATTAAAACGAAACAGTGTTTTTTTATTTCATGATTCTGAATCAACCACTCGACGGATTTTCATGATTTTTGTGTTGAAAGAAAGATAATTTTGAGAACTAGGGAATGTCGAAGCCATAATTTTAGTTTAGGGTCCCAGTTTTTGAGAAATTAAGTTTTAATTTGTAAAAAGTCTAGTAGCCGACGCTAAGATTCTAAACTAGCTTTTGGCATAAAATAATTTGCTTAACATAACAGCTGTAAACATTCAGCTTTTGTGTCACAAATTCAGCATTTGGATAAAAATGTAAAGACATACTGAGGGTTGACTTATTTATACTATGTGTAATGCTAATCATTGATACGTTCAATTCTTCTGTAAGATGATGACAGATTAATTAAATATAACATAGTAAAATACTAGGATGTTCAAATTATTTTTTAAAGTAATCTTTGTAATCTTCGATTTGTTTTATAGCAATATAATTTGTTTTAACTAACAGCTGGTTAAATATAAAAATGCTTGATAGAACTATGAGGTTATTTTATTTACTCTGATTTTGTCTTTGATTATGGGAAATAAGTAAGATTAGTAGACGACCGAGATAAGTAACACCATTGATGCATACAAGTCGAGGCTCTGTACACGAGTCTTAAAAAAAGGATATGCAAATTATTTTACTCCTTAAATTTTTTAGGATAGGGTAGGAAAATCCATGTTTTACAAGTTTTAATTCATCTTGGTAGGTAGCTCTGTGTTTACAATCAATGTTATTGAATGCTTGAACTTTGTTTGGATTAGGCCCGGAAATATTGATGTCATAAAGAAGGAGATCAAGAATCCTCAGGAATACGATTTTAAATTACCACCACAACCTCAGACGGGTTTTTTCATACATAAAAGGACTCCTTTTATCAATGGTTTTATGCAAAGATATAGAGATGAATGACATAGATTGAGCACAACTTCATCATTGGATACTGCAATTAGACTAACCATCCTTTTATGAAATCTAAAAAGTTGTTTGGCGTGTGGTTGTGAAGTTGTGAAGTTGTGGTTAAGTTTGGAGGCTCTGAATATTTTATAGTTTAAATAAATGAACATGGGGAATTACAGTGTACATTGATTCAATGAGGGTGGTTTAATTATTAAGGATATTTGAACTGATAACGTAATGAATAATAAACATAGACAATTAATTACGTCACTAGCTTTACTAGCGTGTTTACGGTTTAAATTTCTTTAACATGTGACCAGTTCTTTTGTTCAAATGAATATTATTTTATTTTTGACTCAGCTGTTTACAAAACAAACTATATGTTGTTGCTTTTACTTTTCTTTGTTTACACTTATTTATTTAGCAATTGATGCAGTAAAATTGATACAAAGGATATGTGTGGACGATTCGTTTAATGATGTCAGGACACCAACGTTATAATTATGTGTACTGTGAATTTTATTGAATGTTTTCGTTTTATTTTAGGGAGTTTCTATTCAGACCTACTGGAAATTGTGTATAGTATGAGTAATTGTATTGTGGTGATATTGATTATGGAAAGGTATGCGATGGAATTGGAAGGTGATATCGTTGACTAGGCCTATACAGTTCTCAACTGATAATTACTCTTTCTACTGTAGGCTGCAATAAAATTTGTCTTTATACGTGTAAGCTAGCTGTTCTGAATTATACACAGTTTTAACTGACTACTCCCGTACGTAGGACGGGTTAACACCTCGTTTTTAAGCTAAAATTAGTTGCTTCTATCTACAATCAATAACCAATGTTTCTAGTGTTTCTACACTTGTTGAGTCCTGAGCAGGTGATGAAGCCAGTGTTGAGCATATCACATTTCAGCAACTGTTGGTCGCTGTTGGTCAAGGGGTTTTGATGAACCTAAACAAAAGTGGAAACAGACATTTTACTCATAAATCACAAAACACCATAAAAATAATGGTATTGTGAATGGTATGAGACTTGAATTTTATCATGTTGTCACAGGAGCCGGCTAGAGAACACTCATGGTGGACTGAAAGTTTTTTACTTGACTGATTAATTTATCATTTACAAGATATTTTTAGGTGGATTTTAAATTTCAGCTATCACAATAATCCCTTTCAAAACTAGATAAAATACAAAAATTAGTTACATTACATTTTTATTTTTAATAAAACCTTATCCCTAAACTAGTTGTGACACATCCTGTTAAATTTGTAGGAGAAGGAGTAGATGATGAGGACGTAGAAGTTTCCAGTGTGAGAGGGGAGGGAGAGGAAGCTGGTAAGGCTCGTTGGCGAAGACAAGCCGACCAATACGAGTACACTCCCACCAAGACACGATGTCCACTGCTGTTAGTGGCTGACTATCGTTTCTACCAGGAGATGGGCGGCAGCAACACGAAAACCACCATCAACTATCTGGTAATAGTAGTTAACAATTGAACTTTGGTGAATCAATCATTATAGCTCAAAACTTTGTATTACTTGTATTAGAGGTTCTGGAATGAAAATTTGGCGCCTGAAGCCCCAAATATTTTTTGTAACAGATGTAATACATAAGAAGCATAACTTAACCTCGTTTACAATTGTGTACATGCAAACAATTCATGACTAACTGTTGAAAGACCACACCTAATTTCTGTCGCAACATGGTTAGAGCTAATACAATAGGAAATGTTAACGGGCATCATTAACCCTTCAATGTGATTTGACAAGTGTAGCTCAATACACATGTCCCATACCTTAATAGTAGTACTCGTCCCAGCTATCCGATGGTGATTAGCTGGCTAGGGTGTTGCACTGAAGAGTGTATTACTGAGGTCTTTCTACCTGTAGCAGCAAACCTAGGTACTTGTTAAACTAATGTTATTTAAATCCATTGACAAGTTGTCTATTGTCTATTGTCTGAATACAGAACATTTTTAAAGAGATATTTTGATGAAAAATCCAACAAGGCAAATGAAAATTGCTTTGTCTGCTGCGGCGGGGGTATTTACCTATCACCTCAGTGTTGTCGTTGAAAAATCCAAACGTGTCTTATGAGTGCTGTAAGATGTGTTCATATGTGTAAGAAACATTGTACAAAATTTAAAACATGTATTTTTTTCAGATCAGTCTGATCGACAGAGTTCACAAGATCTACAACGATACGACGTGGCAAGACAGATCTGACCAGGATGGGTTTAAAGGGATGGGATTTGTCATCAAGAAGATCGTAGTTCACTCGGAGCCAACAAGGGTGAGAGGAGGCGAGGCACATTACAATATGGTCAGGGAGAAGTGGGACGTTCGCAACCTACTGGAGGTCAGTTGGAAAAAAATAGTTCCGGACGTAACATAGAGTAAAGACCATAAGTTTTAAGGACTGTGAGGATAGCATGCTTTTCTGACAATGTCACTCATGAATTTTAATGCAGCCGAAAGTGGCCAAGTTTATAATACCTAGATGTTTTGGTAAAACAGATTGTGAGCGAAATAAAATAAAACTTGATATAAATATCAATGGTGGTTTTAATGAACTCTGACTGTTTTCTCATTTTAATACAATGAACAAGAACAGCTGAATAATAAAATTAGAATAATGGTCAGCTGTTAAATCAAGACAAAGAGAAATAACAAACTTCAACGGTCTACACTTCGTGGCCACGATTGGACGTGAAGACATCTCTCTAACCCATCTCAAATCTTGCTTGGTTGGGAATGCTGTAAAATATTGTATGTTCAAGTGTATTTTAAAGCGTTGTGTTTGTTGCGCCACTGGACTCTTTCTTTATCAGACAAGCCTGCCATTCTCAAAACAAATTTAATATTACAGTTTTAATGCGAGAAAGATTATTGTTCTATGTACTTTTATCGTTAACTTTGTTGGTAAAGACATTCCATTTGTAGACCAGAAATAATTGGTATTTTAAATTCCGATATTGTTGAATGAGGTTCTTGGTTTTTATTATTAAAATTAATACCGATGAAACATTCAAGAATTAATAAACTGATGTCAGCTTTATTCACTTCCTTAAATTTATGCACAATTAATTGCAACTTTTTTTCAGCCTGTAGTCGGCTTAAATGCAAATTATGATTTGGTGTTCCTCCAACTTTGTGTACACTTGTTATTTTGTTGCATAATTTTTGAATTTGTTTCATTTTTGTACATTAATGTTGGATTAAGTTATTGTATTATTAACTTTTTCAATGTAGAAGGCAAGGATGTTTCTTCCAACCTTTCATTAAAAATATTTTTGGTGTTTCTTAAAAATGTTTTATCTGTGTATAATATAGAAGCCTATTAATAAAACCGGTGCAATGTTTTTTAAAACAAATATGGTACATCTATTTTGTGTTTTAAATACAAATTTAGCAACATGCATTACATTTTAAAACTCTAATCCTGCACCTTATTTGGAGTTAAATTTCCTAAAGTGAAAAGTATTAACTAGGAAGTGCTCTGTTAACGTAATTTAAATTTTTTTTTTATGATTTCATTTAATTTTTAATCATCTGTAATTTAAGAAATAGGTTCAGTTATGCTATAAAAATAAAATCTTTATTCTAAAAGTTAATTATTATTTCAATCAGAATGAGGTTTTATTGATTAAAAACTGTTTCAGCACAATAAGAGCCAAAATTTAAAATGGCGGCTAATCATAAACAAAAATGTTTTTAATCAAACAAGAACAAAACAATTAGTTTAAATTCTACCTCTTAAAATGCAAACCCCTTTTAAATGCACTCCGTTAAACCATAACCAGGATCAACCAAAGAAATTACAGTAAAAGTTTCAAATCAATCGGAAAACTTACTAGGCAACAGGAACCATCCACGTTGACATGGGTGATTTGCCAACAGAATGTAATAGAGCCGACGACAACATGAATCTCATAATTAAGATCAAGTTCAGAAAACCACTGTTGATAATTTCAAGAAATAGCTTTTGTTTATAAAGTAGTAGGATTTAAGAGGATAGTAATTGAAATAACGTAAACATGACTTTGAAGATTGAACTGAAACATCCATCCTTTTGATCCCAACTATTGATTAACCAAAATTAGAATAATTGTGTAAAATTGTATTGTCCCTTTATTTTGGTTAGGTAATTGTTGTTTTACTGTAGCACCGTTTAGCAAAATTAATTTATAGTCAAACAAATATAAAACCTGTTGAAGCTTTGCAATCCCAAAGATTATGATTTGACTGTTTACTTTAACTAGAATGTGTATCATCTGATTTAACCAACAAACCATCGAAATATAAATTAATAAAAAAAGTGAAATACATTTTTTAAATCCTCACTGTTTCAATTTCCGTCACCAAGATTTAGTACAGCAAAATTAGTCACATAACCTAAGAAGTGTCAAGTTGTGTGTTTTTAGGTTTTTTCCCGCAACCGAGAACTGCGGAAATTCTGTCTGGCGCATCTGTTCACACATCAGACGTTTGTGGCCAAGCAAGGATTAGCGACAGTGCTAGGCCTAGCGTACATAGCTAGTCCTCGGGCATACTCTACAGGGGGCATCTGCACTAACGGTTATATATGTTATTGTCACAGGGGTTAGGCTGCATGGCTGCACATCATCCAATCATGCGGTTACATGGTTACGTGGTGGAGGGTGTGTCTAACCATGTTACTAAACATTGGTATATGTACGGGTTTTGTGTGTTGATTTTGTAGGTTAAGTTTGAAATGGTATTCGTGGTAGTTGTATTGTTTCTTTTCACTTGTGATGAAAGTAGTGTCTTTGTTGTCTTTTATCTATACTAATAAACAAATTATGATTGAAGTGTATCATCTATTAAATATTATCAAAATGTTTACTTAAAGGTTATGCAGCACCTCCTATATTATTATCCTAGAGCTAGACCAGCAGTAGATTGCGGGACTTGGATCCCCGAGGTTCCATGTCCAACTCTCGCCAATCATCAATGTATTTGTCTATGTCATAAAGCCGTGAGCTCCTCTAGACCTAGCCTGAAGTAATGTAAAAAACAATCCCAGGCTTGAGCTTAGTTAAATAAAAATATACTATTATCATTATCTATTATCACTATTTATTGTAACAAGTAAAACTGTAAACAGAAAGCAGAAAGTAACATACCTTAAAAACCTTGCGCTCTTTGGTGTCTGGACTTTACGGTTTGGCTGATTGAAAACTTTTCAAATGCAAATCAACTCTTGACTTGATGCTCAGAAGTGTTTAATTTTATTCTTGTTTTTTTGTTTATTTTTGTAATTCAATTGTTGTTATTATGTACTAGAGGACCCATGCTGCTCCTCGGTGTTAAAATAAATATCATATCCGAGAAATAATCAAATTTATGATTTTTGATTGAGTAATACAGTATCTTGAACTTAACTGATTCAAACGATCAATAGCTCAAATTAAAGCCTATAATAAAAAATTAAAAAAACATAAACAATACTTGAGGTATTGATTTTTAGAAAAACCTTTTAAAAATAATTTTTATGTAGGTTGTGTTTGCTTGAAACTCATCCGATTTGAATAACTAATAGCTTAAATCAAAGCAGGCATTTCACTGATGGTTCTTAGACCAAAATATATGAGATTTTATTTAATTAATTATAACTGGTGAAATACATCTTATATTGTAGTAAGAATTTGAAAATAAATCAAATTTATGTTTTTTGGGTCGAGTAATACAGTAGACTAGTACACCCGTAGGGCTCTATGCGCCACCAAATTATTTAAAAAATGAAAGGAGAACACACTAAACAATGTTGTCAGTCAAGTAGTACTTCTTCAAACACCACGTTAGATGTGGAAAAAATCCATCTGGAAATACCCTCTGGTTACCGGTTTTCTTGATGAAAACTTTAGTGCCATTGAATGACCTTGACCTACTAAGGGCAACATAAATTTGGTCGTGAGTGAATACAGGCTTAAGTAGGTAAATTGCAGATTTGGTTAGCAATTGGCCCTATTCTTTATTAATTGTCATAGCAAACGCTAACAGGGGAGGACATTGCAATCTTTGCGTCTTCTTAAATGGCAGATTTGTCTCTGATGGACACATTTTGATTCTGGGAATGAATATCTGTTCTCCCTCACTGGTTCCTGTTGAAGCTCACCATATGCTTGCAATCCACTGTGTTTTCTTGTAATCTAACTACCTGTAGGTGTGTGACATTTATTAAGCCTTTTGCAGTATTCAAGTTTCTTACCAACAAAAAGACTGCACTAATTTTCAAACAAAGATGGTGTCTTGGGAGGCCGCTAATCTCAACACTGTTGAGGAATTCCGTTGGACATTCCAGTTGTGCATCCATGTTGTCGGCCAGCAATGTGTCAACACTATCGTAAATTTCGCCTTGTATGGTGGATAAAACATCACTAATCATTATGTCACAATCTGAATTCTTAGGGGATAAAATTGTGTAATTCTTTATTTCTCCAGTCCGAATGCAATTTTCCACATCCGGGTATATGAAATCAATTGAAGAGCCAATACCAAGCAACCTTTCCGTAAAATAGGAAACCCATCTAATGTCCTAGGCAAAGAGTTATTCCCCACCTCTTATAAAAAGTTGGCAAAGACATCTTCCCCATCATTTACTCGCATATTCCTTGTAAGTTTCACTTTTTAAAATTAAAATTATATTTTAATTTTATTGAATAACACGTAATTTGAATTGCAAGTAAAGGTAATAAATAGATCAGACTTAACCTTGTTGACGAACTATTGCCATTGCATCCAAATGATTGTGATTGCATATGTAGATTTCGATAGCTGCCTTGAAATGGTTTAGGAAGTATGACCTGCCGACCAACATTAAGCCCTTCGTTTTCAGCGCAAGCTCGAATAGCATCGTAAAGGTTCATGTAGAGTTCAGCCCGAAGTTTTGACTGTTCACGGCGAATAAAGGCAAGCCGATCTCCCTCTATTCTTGTGAACATATCCATGATATACTGAAGAGGTAATTTCCCCCTATGGATGACAGGAGAATAATTTTGTTTGACCGAATGTCTGTGAGATGCAAACTGCAACTCGGCTGATATCCGAGAGGTTTAGAGGTTAACGGATTAGTTTCATTAATTAAATTTGTTGGCTCAAGCATAACATTTATGTTACAGGAATTATTTTGAAGTGCATCACATCGCATTCTTACCGCTTGCTCCGTATCGTAAAAATATATTTGGGCATAAGAAAAGCTTTCTTGGTTTGCATCTAGATTGCGTTTAGATTAATACCTATTCTGTGATGCACCTGGCCGTTCACTAAAGAAGTAGGCTCCTCCTTGGTTCGGTTTTATATTGGCACTGGAACTTACCAAAGCCTGGTTATAATTTCTACAATGTTTCTTGAAATGTTTGGCCTTCTGCGAGTCTCCGGTGAACATCTCTTCTAGTGCGGGGTTCAATCTAATAGGAGGAAGATATACTTTTCCTCCGTGACAACATTGGGGTTTATTCACCCTTAGTTCTCCTCTCTGATCGAAAATACAGGGCATTGCAATTTATGCATATCTGATCCATAGGCCCAGACAATGCAAAGCAGGATTTCGGTTTGTCAAGCCAGGTTTTCTCTCTTCCGCATCACGTCTTATACGCATCAAATCTCACACCAATCTCTGTCTCTGCCTGTTTTCCCTATTTACTCTTCGGACTCTTGGCATTATTTATTAAAGTATTTTTTCAGTAAAAATAAAATATTTTTATCATATTATACGTTAAGGGTTATAATTTACTATCTCACATGAATGTAAATATGCATCATAAAATAAAATACTCAAACATCATATTTTTTGGATTATCAGCAAATAACATAGGCCTATGTCTTGCTTCCAACTGTTTCTTTCTGTTAGCAGCTGTAGTTTTATATCAACTTCAATTCCCACGTTAATATTATGAAAGAAAAAACTTACTTTAGAGGCACGCACATTTCTGAAAACTAATATTGAAAAAAAAAACCTTAATGCAAAACTACCAATTGGGACAAACATTTTGACATCTCAAACATTAAAATCGGTCCATAAATAAAGGAGGAGTTTTGTTCACAAAAAAACAGCCCTCACGTATTAAGATAAGAGATGCTTGATGTGAAACCTGTGTGTGTATACCTTCAATTTAATACATCAATCATGAAAATCGTGCGGGTAGAATAGCCAAACAAACTCGGAAAAGAAAAAAAATTTGTAATATATATATATAAGTTTTCAGTTCAACAGGTGGTGGGGAAGTATCTTAAACTAACAGCATTGACTATTGGATACTGAAGTAGATGTCCCATCTATATGGACCAGCTGTAGCCAATTTTTGGTTAAAAAAGAACGTAGTTGTGTGAGCCAGTCACAGAATGCGCTAGTGACTAAAACTCAATTTTCCACCTTATTTTTTGTTGCTGGCCAAGTTGATGGGTCAAGTTGTATTAATAGTCAAAGCTAACAGTGTATCAGTAACAATCCATCATTAATCTTTAATACACTACACTCGTTTTAGGTTTGTTTTGTGTTGGTAAAAGTCAAACACCTGTTAATTATCTTTATTATAATAACACCAAAAGCTATAAAATATTATTATTATTTTATTTTAATGTTTTTTATTATCAATGTGTTTACTGTCTTATATATCAAATAAACTCATGTAATTTTCATTGTTGAAGTAATATTACTTTATGGTTTTACTATCCATTTTAAATGGAAATTTATGGAATCATGACAAAAAGCTGTGACATATTGCAAAAAGGTTCTTATAAAATTGATTTATACTATAGTAAATTAAAGTATTGTTAGTGTTTTATGTACATAATTTACAAATTCTACATTTAAGTCATTTATTTTAAGAAATAAAAAATACCTGTTTCTTCCTACACAACAAATAAGTATGGTATTTAATTAAATTTACAGTCAAAAAGCAAAACCAGGTAGATTATTTAGTTTGTAAACCACATCACTACCTAAAATATTTCTAGAGTTGACTATTGACTGTAAGTGACATTCAAAACAACATAGGAGCTTTTTTTAAGGGTTAAGCAAATGATAACAAAGCAACTATCCAAAGTTTCTCGCTGTCTTAATGAAGTGATAATTTCTGTTCTGTGATACATTTATTAGCATTTTCACAATGACGTGTCATTCCATTACCAATGAGATGTATAGATTACTAACGCTTGTCTAACATTACGCCGTGGTGTTGGTGCATGCAGGTGTTCAGCAGAGAGTATAGCCACAAAGACTTCTGCCTCGCCCATCTGTTCACGGACCTCAAGTTCGAGGGAGGCATTTTGGGGCTGGCGTATGTCGGCTCCCCTCGACGTAACTCAGTCGGAGGAATATGTACTCCAGGTTCTCACTTTTTTACTACTGCATTTATTTTCATTTTGGGTCAGTGGATTGGTTTGATTTAGCACCGTTTCAAAGGTGGAAGAATAACGTAAGAATATCAGAACTACACAATAATTGAATACTAAAAACGAGTACAGTGGATGCAAGATACAAGATACAAGAACTTTATTGTTAGTAAAATACATAATATGGTACAATAGTATCTCCTAACTCGTCAATTAATCCT